AGTAAGAATTTAGATGAAGGTTTTATTATGAACCTATGATAAGTTCATAGTTGATCCAACCACTTATCAGAAGTATATTTATTAAAATACTGTACTTAGATGTTATTTACTTTTCTGGTCAGTATTCAATTATGATCATACTGAACTAAACAGTAATTTTTAAGCAAATATGAATAGTGGCTAACAATGGAATGAAGGATGTGCGTTCCGTCCTATTTGGAACTCGTCAGCTGGATGTGCCTGCATCGCAGAGTTGACGTTCATTCCGGGATTCTTAAAAGCTTGTGACTTAAAGCTATATCGAAGCAATCAGCACAGGATGCAAATATGCCAACATGAGACTGATCAATTACAGTCCTAAATAATAATAGGAAGATACAAGTAAAACAATACCGAGTGAATTTAAACAGTAAGTGACATAAATTAATTAATAACTAGAAGCTTATATACAATCTACAATATTAAAAGATTTAATTGCATTAACTAGATATATAAATAAATAACTAAATCTCTTATTACTCCTTCCTAACAATTATAAATATGTCGATAGAAAGAAAACAGTTTTTTTAAACTAATTAAGAAGCTAGACCACCATGGAAAACCTGGAAGCACTGGACGGCCGTTTCATCTCAGTACGGGACTCCTCAACAGTGTGCATCCACGACCTCGCCCCCACAAGATTCGTACCCAGGACCTATCAGTCTCGCGCGCGAGACCATTGAGCCGGCATCCAACGGGTGTTAATGTCTAGCTTCAACTAATCCACGGAATTGAGCGACACATTCACCATTGTCATCAGTGACTTACTATCTTACAACAGACCTGGTTGAACTCCACTGGTCACTGCTTCTCACTAGAATTCCAGGATATACCTCTTGATCTCAACCATTGAAGTTACCATAATATTCACAAAAACCCTTCTGATATTAATTAAGAAGTATTGATTTTTAATTGTATCAGGTAAACAAATTTAATTAATTAATCACTAATTAAAAGAATATTTACCAACTATCGAAAGAAGTTATATCTCTCCGGTTTAAACAATAAATAACTTTCAAGCATGAACTGATTCTTCAACAACTTATTACATAGTCGATCAATAATTAGTCGTACAGTTCAAAATCTATATAAATTTCAGATTGTTTCTTGACATAACCAGAAAAGAATTAAATAAATAAATAATGACATAGGACGGGTCAGTTACTTCATTAGTTAGTTAGCTATGACAATAAAAATTATCCTTAACTATTGTAAAATAAGGCAGGTTTTATTATCTTGGTAAAGGTATTTTGTACAATTCAAAATCAGTTGATAATATCAGAGGAAGTACAACATAACCGTCAAATCTAATTTGATAAAATAGAATCAGTTCGACTTTAATATTCAAATATTTAACTAGAGATAAATCAGTATTTTGATAAAGTAGATTAACCTTAAGAAGTTGTACATTAAATCAATTTAACTTACATATGTTTAAGTTATGGAATTTAAATAGATCTGAATACTACAATGTCACTGGAATGATTTATGATTAGTAGAATAGTTTGAGTACAAACCATGAAGTGATTGGACATAGCTTATTTTCTTCAGAGCTAGGAACATAACGTTGAAGCATCTGTTATATTGATTAACTAATAGCTGAGTTTCAGTTTCACTTCTTATAAGCTAATCAGTTAAAATCTAAGTAATTGGGAAAATACTTCAGTTCAATGGAAGGTTTATAAACAACACTAATCAACTCTCTTGAAAAAACGTAATCTAACAGTCAGTATGATTGTTTCTAACCTCCCTATTCTGACTGTCAATAAGTTCTTATGAGTTGGAGATGTTGTATAATTAATGTTTCATTAGTTGTAATGCGTATACATGTACCGAAAATTATTGAAAAAGAAAATTTATAATTATTTTGTGGTTACACATATAATATACCGTCTAATATGATATTGAAAGTGATCTATAAAAAGCAAAAAAAAATGAAACAATCAATCTATATAATAAAATTGAATATTTTTAATCTCAGTAGTCACTCAGGCATATCACCAATAAAACAGTACACAAGTCATCGAAGAATAGTTGTTTGGATTCCTTTTTTCATGATTATTTGATAGTACGATTTGATGACTTCCTAAGCGCCAACTTCGGAAGTAAATAAAAACAATCTAATGTTATGTATCCGTTAAATTACATTGTTTTTCAACCGTGAAATATTTTGTTCACGTGAAATTTCGATCTGATCAGTCATGATTTCAGTTATGGAATATATATATAACGATAACGTGGATTTCTTTGAGTGTATTATTAACCTAACTATACTACTCCAACAGTCAATGGTCTCATAGACTGATTCTTAATTCGGCCTCCAATAACTTTCATCCAGTCTACTCTTTTATCAATTAATATCACACATCAAGGTTGGCGGTGGAAGGACATAAGTGGTACTCATCCTAAGCATTTCAGTTGATGAAACCTCACTGTACCACCAACCGATTTACCATCTTTGCCTGGTACTTTGTACTTAATCTCGACGTTGCTTACTCGGTAATCCCAGCATACTTAAACAGTGCTTCGAAGTCATTTATGATCAAATACTAATGATTTAGGACTATCCTGTACTTATTGCTCTTGAATATTAATTCATCGCTAATCCCCGTAACAATTCGATATTGCTGTATACTGGTGGTTCTAACTGTTGTCCAATTCTCGTCACTACCGTTCCATCTGGAGATCGCCTCTGTTAATGTACATGTTGACTTTGTTGGGTCCGCGGTTTTCCTGCTTTAACTCGACAATCGGGAACTACTACAAATCCTACGACCCAAAGAAGAACTAGAAATACTTATCCAATGAAGATTTAGTGCCTCCAAAAAAAATAACGTCTCTAAACATGTTCCAAAATCACACCGTCATTAGACCAAAATACAATCATTTATATAACAATTTTGACACATTAATCTCACATTTTGAGGAAAATATATACGGTGAAAACGCACTGAATGTGGTTTACATAAACAGATCAAGGAAATATAATTGTCACACTGAAAGTTCATACTTGTCATATTAAAAGAGTTTGCACTGAAATAATCCAATAAATATTGATCTTAAAACGCCACGTTGATTGAAGTTCATATATGTCACCATGTTGGAAATTTATAATTAATTGACAAAAAATTATTGATCTCTATAATGTCATCATCTTATCTCGTCATATCGGAAATAATTTGTTTATTTTTACTAAGAATAACAAAAATAAGTCAAACAAAAAAATCATATCTCTTGTTTCAAATTATATGAATTACGTTCCCTGGTTAACTCTATTTCGAAAGCGTATGACAATTAAAGAGACCAGGAAATAGAATTCAGACAGTTTAAATTAATGAGTAAAAGGTGTGAAGGTTTAAAATGTATTTATTAATGAACCAGAATAGTTTGATCTAATTACCACAGACCAATTTCGTGGTGAACTTTCTTTATATAGTGAGGACGTATCCTACAAATAGTATATTAACTGATTGGTTGATGGACCTCTAGCTAGTTGTTTAAAATCAAATTTATCTAATAACATTCTCAAGGTTAAAAAAATTCTAAACTGATCTTAGGCAGACTTCCATTGAAAACTTAAGAGCACTGGATATTTGTTCCTTCCTAGCATAATACTACTCAGCAGTACCCATTTATGATCTCATCAGCGAGAATCAAACTTAGGACCTATGACCTCAAATGTAAACACTTAACCTTAAAAACTTTGTTTATAAAACGTTATAAATCGTTAAATGAATACAAAAAACAGTTTCACAACGCGAATATCTTTATATATATAAGTAATTAGCTCATATCAAGTACCCTCTTAGCCTCATTTTTCTTTAAATGTTCACAACAACAACAAAAAACAATTTTATATCAGCCCTTTAATTAACTAAAAACTCTACAAGAAATAAACTAAAAATAATTTTTTATTTTCAGTAAGTTGAGATTTTTCTGTTAATTTTATTCTACTTTCATAAAAACTACTTTTCTGTAGAATAACTAAGACTTCTTGTCATTTTATCATGAAAATGTTTTTCATTAAATTAAATTTCTTATTTGCAAATGATAATCTAATCAAACATTAAATTGTTGTTTACTTGTATCTTCCCGATTGTTATTTAGGGTTGCCATTGATCAGTTTCTTGTTGACATACGTGCATCATGTACGGATTGCCTCGATATTGCCTTAATTCACAAGCTTTATAAACAAAGATGGATAGTAGCTAGCAGTAGAATTCAGTTTGACGCACGTTTCGTCCTATTTGGGACTCGTCAGCTGGATGTACCTGCATCTCAGAGTTGATGTTCAGTTTGAAACTCGAACCCAGTACCATATAGCATGCACATATGGTCAATAGAAGTCCTAATTAACAATGGGAAGCTACAAGCAAACAACACCAAGTGAGTTTAAAACTTCACCCCATTCCACAAGCAGGTGGCTATCAGAAATCAGTATTTAATTGAATAATGTGATGATGTTCGAAGCGAACAGCTCTGGGTTCGAGTCGCAGAGTGAGCATCAATTCTGAGATGCAAGTATATTTAGCTGACGAGTCCGAATTGGCACGAAACGCGCATTCCGGATTGCACTGCTAACCAGTATCCGTCTTTGCTAACCAAGCATTATTCCGAATAGATAAATAAAAAAATTTGATATGTTTTTTATCATTTCTTTATTATATAAGTTGAAAGAATAAATCCGGCTTATTGATTGTTTTTCAGTACATAATAATAATTATTAAGCAGATAACCCCGCCTGTAGTTGTTCTATGGCCACTGCCGGTTTCAAGCCCGGGTAAAGGATAAGGGTTTTGTATGGAGTTATCAACTCTATTCCGTAGAAAAAAAAACCTTGCTACAAAACGCTAGCCGGAATTAAGTAGTTAACAGAAAAGATAACTATTGAGAAATGAAAAATCAATAAATACTAACTAATTTATTAGAAACAACATTAATTTTGATTAATGTAAACTTACTAGTTGTTTTGCCGCTTTTCGGAGGTCCTATAATATGTAATCTTAATGGTACTCTAAATGGTGGATCTGTATATTTCTGTGTATACTTCAAAGGATTTTTCATAAATAATCCACGAGCATTAGAATTCATAAACCAATAGATATGTTGCTTATAAATTGCAGCACATGTTTTAGCTTTAACTATAGGCAATGTTTCACCAATAATCCCAGGTAATTTACTCAAATATTTCGGATTACCAACTTTTATATTAGGCATTGGAATAGGTGGAAGCCATGCATTTTGAAAGTATAATGTAACTGGACACCATCGACCATATGAGCTTGGAAAATAATAGCCATTAATTAATAAACGTTCCGCAATTTTTGGTGTAATTGGATAGACACGTTCAAATAATGAGTTACGGTTCTCTAATAAAGTATGTAAGCGCTAAAGATTGAAATACCGACATAAATATGGCTTTTTATAAGTTATCAATAAATGTTTATCATTTTAAATTAAATACTGTTTATTTAGTCATAAATAATGTATGACGTAGCTCCAGTTCCGACAATTCCCAACGAGAGTAAATTTTAAAAAATTAAAAAATCAAAGTCGAAATAACAATACTAATATCGATGATGAGCCATAAGTAAATAACATATTCTGAGAGAAAGAATAATTTTGAGAAAGTAAAATTTAGAGAATAAAAGAAATTGAACAAAATTACTCTACTGTGATCGATTTTAAGTTTTATTATCTAAGGTCTTTAAATATAGTTCATAAACATTGACTAATAAGTCTGTATCCTTCCAGTATGCTTATTTCTTAAGTCAGTAACTTTGTAAAATAATAGCAACTTCGCCAGGTAACACTTCGCCTTTTTGATAACAAAGATCAAATATTTGGATAATAGGTAGATAGATAGGTGTGGGTAACATGTCATATCTAATTTATACAGTTTCTGTTCACAGTTTTATTGACCAATTCACTATTTTTACTTACTATCTGACAACTGTCAAGAACACTAATCACTATGTAAATCAATTACAAGTTAGAAATACTTTGAAGATATCTGAGACCACATATTAACCAACTACATATGCCATTGGTTTCAAGTAATCATATTTTACAGCCGTAGAGATTTAGTGATACATTGTGCATAGTATTTAATATCCAAAAAGACATCTAGCTTGTACTACATAAGGAATGGGTTGATAAAACCCTACTAAGTAACTTATTTTCCTGTTGATTACAGTTTGTCATTAAATCAACAGTGCTAATAAGACTAAAGTTGGTGGAAGTACTCAACAAAATAATCTGTTTAACTCAATGGAGTGAAATTGGGATTCATAAAGACCTGTTCATAAGCAGCATTTACATTTTGAAGGTAAAGAAAGACACTCAAAAACTTCTCTCACTTCGAAACAGTTTATTTAGAAGAATTTGTGTTTTGTCAACATCTTTACTAGGTAGAATGTTATTAAGTCAAAGCTTCAAGTCGACGGAAGGATCTTCCAACAGGAAATTAATTTTCGGAAACTCCAATGATGAAATGTTACTCATATCAATGACAGAATATAATAAAAATGTTCATGTTGGTATTCATCATAGATATTATTCAAACAAGCCAGTTCGGATGATAGTTCAAAGTAAACCCTTAAGTATTTGACAATGGACCCCAAATATTGAATTTTACCACTTTTTAATTGATAAAGGGTGAACCACTGTAATTATGGATATAGAAGATTATGATTGGACTTATCAAATATATTCAAATCTAAAATAACAAATCAATAGTATTATTAGGTGTCTCACCCATACTTATTTTACCTGAACCAACACTGGAAGTATAAATGTATGTACATATATACGGTATTCCTGTTATTTGAAATTGATGAGAATCATTCCGATATTAGAAAACGTTAAAGTTTGAGATTAACTGAGCTTAAAGATCTACTTCGGACAACATATTTTTAGTTCAGTAATATAATATACAAACAAACGAAGAAACCATCTGTGGGATCATCAATACGCGGAATGATTATAGAAGCAGGAATGAAAATACTAGATTTTCTCTCTCTTACTAGACATAGAGTCACAAATGTGGACCCAAATGTCAAGCTGTCCTTAGTAGGAAAGGCAGGATAAAAGATATTTTAATTTGCTCAGTAGCATCGTGATTTATGTACCCTATACACCAAATAATGAGTGAAACAACCAACTATTATTATGAACCAATACAGTACAACTAGACGACTAATTTCATCGAAAGTTATAGTGTCAGTTGATATATGACACCACATGGTTTATTCTAGGTCAATTTACTCACCATTCTGGAGTCACATTTTGACCTTGTTAATTATTCGCTTATCAACCTTAACCGTTTTTTATGTAATTGTATGTGTGTGCATTTCTCATTTTTTTCATCACATGTCTGTAACTTATTTTTATGAATATAAAGATCGATTCACGCTTGACTAATTTGAATTGGCTCAGTTCCCTCTATTGTGCGTCATTTCGTTTTGCTTCACTCTCCGATCAACGACTGTATGAAATACACATTCAAACTTCATTCTCGCATTCGACTTATTTAATTCCATTATTCACTGACCCGATTTAGGTCGACGACTATATGTGATGATTGACGATATGTATCTTTCAATAGCAATCATTCCTACGATCCAAATGGAGTCAGATCTCGAGTCACCAAAAATAATAAAATTCTTGATTATAGTAACAATAACCCAGTGATCAATAAGATCAGCTATCTGCTAACCAAAATAGAAAATATATAGATGCCCTCTTGTTAACGTTCGTATTGAACATTCTGACTTTGATATTGGTTCACAGTTGTTTTCCGTGTTGTATTTCAGGGTCTTACTTTTCCTTTGTGCATGTTGAGGCCTACTGCTGCGGAAGCTGCTGCTACATTGGTTGTTTTGACCGGCATTTGTTGATGTATATAGGATAGAAGGGTCAGGTCATGTGTGAAGTTCAAATTGTTTAGTTGCATACAACCTGTCCATTTTACTCTGTGCTTCCCCTCAGATGTCGAGGTCTTCATAATCCAGTTAACCACTAGAATAGAGAAAAAAGGGGGAGTAGGCAACCTTATCTGACGCCAGTCCTTGCTTAAAATGCGTGTGTCAGCTGTCCTTCATACACGACTTTGTAGTGTGATCTGTCGTATAAATTCTGTATGACAATGACGATCTTCTCAGGTACACCATAGTGTCGGAGAAGGGTCCATAAGATTCTCCTATCCACACTACTAAACGCCTTCTCACAGTCAATGAAGTTGATTTATAATGACGAATCTCATTCAGTTGATTACTCAACAATGATTTGGTCTGTGCACGGCCGATTCTTACGGAATCCGGCCTGTTGATCTTAATGTTGGGCGTCTACTGAATATTTAATCTGCATCAGCAGTTCTCCATTGAAAACATTTCCTAATACTGACAGTACTGTGATGGCTCTATATTTTTTGCATTTGCTCAGATCTTTCTCTAGATCTTGGTGAGGTATCTATCTTTACAGTCTGTTCTTCCTTCCAAATCTTACTGAATGGAACGTGGAGCATGTTTGCAGTTACTTTTATGTCTGACTTCAGTGCTTCAGCTGGTATATTGTCAAATCCTTCTGCTTTCACGCTCTTGATTTGTCTGATAGCCATTCTGTTTTCTTCGATCGTTGATGGAATGACATCCATAGAAAGGGATGTGTGTGCTGCTTCGATCTCCATTCCATTCAACGGAGCTGGTCTGTTTAAGAGTTCCTCGAAGTGTTCCAATCATCTGTTCCTCTGTCCTTGAATTTCAGTGATTGGTTTATCTTCTTTGTCCTTGACTGGTCTCTCTGGTTTACTATATTTCTACGCTAGTTTCTTCGTTGTGTCATATAGTTGTTTCATATTTCGTTCTCTTGCGGCTTTTTCCGCTGTCATTGTCAGGTCTTCTACGCACTTATGACTGTCAGCTCTAATGCTCTTTTTTACTTGTTTATGTGCAGCTTGTGCCTTGACTTTCTATGCTGTTGTTCGACTGTTGTTAATGGCTGTCTTCTTGTTCTTCTTTTCTTGAATCTCGTCTATGGTTTTGGTAGCGATCTGTTTTGTACGATGCCTCCAGACACTGAAGTTAGTGCTTCGTTGATCCCCTTCCAATTGTCGTCTATAATAGTTTTTTATACTCATTTCACACAGTATTCAATGTACATATTGAAAAACGGCTAATCTATTGTCCAGTAATAAAAATAATAGACATCTATAGTCTCAGTGATTAGGTCAAGAAAAAAGAAAATTAAAATAAATCTAACACAGAAAACTAATTGGATTCATCTTGACAAAATTGTGTGTAAGGACAAAAATATCAAGTTTAGACAATTGAACACTCCCCAAATAAAGTTCGTGACATTATTTGTAGATGATTTACTAAGATAATAAAGGTAAAACTTACAAAAAGCTTAGTCAAACATAACATTATTAGAAACGATTTGAATTATCCCGTTACCGATAGTCATGACTGAATTTAAATCTGCTTTTGTTGGTATTTGTGGGTTTTGTACGGATTGCCTTGATACACCTATGTTTTCATACTTTTACCCAAGAGTATCAGCAAAGGGGTAATTCAAAGAGGTTCAGGTAGATGTTTTTGGCTGCGCTTCATTTTCCCAGATAGATAAATCGGTTAATTTAAAAGCCTTCACTGTCATTCAAAACAACATTATGACATCTATTTAGTTGAGTAAAAGAAAACATGAAATAAATAAAACTATGTAATGTTTTACTCACTTTAACAATTCGATAACGAGCCCATGTAATTTTACCACCAGCATTAATTTCATACTTTGGTATAGATAAATCATCAATTTGTTCAGATATTTCTGTAAAAACATCATTCGAATCATTAAATGTTTCAGTGATCTCTTCAGTTAATCGTTCTACAACATCAGCTTCAGTCTCTTCTTCTTCATCATCCATTTCCTCTTCATCTTCCTTGATGAAATTAAAAGTATTAAAAAGCATATAATAACCCATGAATAAATAGAAATCCTATTATTAATTCATTTTTGTAGTGTTTGTTTGAATCTTATTGACGTTCAGGATTGCGATTGACCGATCTCTTATTGACATATGTTCATCCTGTGTGGATTGCCTTAAGTTACATTATCAGAAAAGATGGATGATGAATAGCAGTAGAACCCAGAATGCGCATTTCGTCCTATTTGGGACCCGTCAGTCAGATGTACCTGCTTCTCAGAGTTGATGTTCACTCTAACCCAGTACTGTTCACTTCAAACGCCACCATGTTGTCCACTTATCCACTGAGTTCAAAATAGGACGAAACGCGCGTTTTAAATTTCACTGTTAACCACTAGTCATAATCCTACTTTCGTTCATCAATAAGTTATAGTATGAAATTCATTTTTATACTATCAAAACTGTTATTGGATAGATGTTCGGTGTTCCGTGTTTTGCACAATTCCCCAAGTGATGTTAGTTTCAGATGAAAACTACTATCCAATCCTTTATAGAATTACAAAGTGTTATAAACATTGTATTTTAATAGATTAAAATAATAAAATGCTTCGTTTTTTATTTTTTTATTATTTTGGCGATTTATCCTCTAACTTACAGTGTCACATCCAATTTATTGAAAAATACCTTAAGCAAAATGCTTTAAAACTGTAGAATTCAAGTTTATTTATGTGTTTGTTTACTACCAATTTATTTTATCCATCACAAACCTAATCGATGTGAGGATGGAAGTTTTAACATCTACAGATTTGTGATAACTCAAGGATAAGTAGTGGCGAATACTGTAAGCTAACAGTTAGTTGCTTCGACAATGAATTCCAATCTTAGTTTACTTATTTTTATCAATTTGTTTGCATAGTTTTATAGCGACCAGTATTATATGTTTAAAGAAGTCTGTCAGTTGCGATCAGTGACAGACGATTCAACAACCTTAACAGACAGTTTTATAATCTAATGGATTCATTTACGTTTACACTCAGAACACTAGTTTTAACCCTCTCTCAAATGATTGTGCTCATTTCACCAATAGTTCGAAAGTCTAACATTTCCCATATATTTCCGTTGTCAGTGTCCATGTTTCATGTGCGGATGGCCACATACAAGGCTGACGAATAATATACTTGCTCTTAGTATGTTGATGAACAGCGGAATGGATTACATTCGTACCGAGACTTTTCTTATACACGTTTTTTACTAGCCAAATGCTATATCATTAACTTCAAGTAAAATAAATAATTAACCGTTTCACTTATGAAAAACGTATGCTAATAAAGAAACATTTCACATAAATTCGTGACGTATTAATTTAAAGACTTAAGACTTGATTTCAGTTCAGGTGTCACGGGTTCAAAACCTGTTGCATCTTTTTTTGGATAGCCACATAAACACTGTAGTTTAGAGCTCGGTGAATAAACCTGTACTTCGTAATTGAAAAACAATAAACGAAAACATAGGAAGGTTCAGAGTATATTAGAAGTATTAACATGATAAAAAAACAGAAATATCTAATTAATGGATTTGTTTCGCTTTACAACTTTAAGGGAAGTAAGAATGACGGTCAGTTCACTATATTTCGTTGTTTTCTCCTCAGCCACATACAAGCTAATAAACTTCGTTGTTTCCAACTATTACCATAATGTTGAATTAAAAATATCGAATAAAATGCGATATATCGTACAGTTTGAATTCAAATACATTAATCAATAATCATGAACTGATCTAACCAAGGCCACCGTTTTAAACCTATAAGCACTGGACTGCATTCACGATCCTTCACATCCGGATTCATAAGTGAATATTAAACCTCTAAATTTCTGAGCTCGCATCTAACGATGTTAATGTTTAACCTCAATCATTTAAAAATCACTCAAAGAGTGGACAGGTTTTTTAATTTGAAAAAAGTATTATCATTGAATAACGCTAATATTTGTAATGATGTACTTACAGCAAATTCTTCTGCCAGCATTTCATCAATATCAACCTCATCCTCCAGTTCTTCATCTTCTCCAACATCCGGATCATCGGAAGTTTGTTTCATCTACCAAAAAATTGAAGAAACTCAAACAAACTTATCCACAATTCAGTCAATAGAAAAAAGTAACTCAATTGTAATATGCACTTCATCCGTAGTGGAATAACATCATGATTATCGTATTTAAGAATTCAAAATAGTTATGAAATGAAAAAAATTGAAATACAAAGCATTTTTCAAAATCTTCAGTTGAAAATTGAAATAACGCTTGTTCTTCTCCCCTAAACTAATGGGACACTAAATTGTTTGTAACAAACAATGAACTATTTATCTGCGTGCACAATTCACATGCTTTATACTAGCTAACCCAAATCAAGAACGAGTGATCCGCCCGACTAGGACCTGTACTATTAGCAATCGACCATCAAGTAAATACAAGGAAATATATATGACATATCAAATACCTGTTAGACTATTTACTAGTCTCTCTAGGAAAACAATCAATTCCTATTTCCTCTCATCCACCAGACAAAAGTAATGTTTATGTGGAAAATATGATCAGTCATCATCAAAATGTGACTTACGCAGAATATTGTTCTATATCAAGACAGGAAGTCAGTAATGAATATGTTACATTGTGAATCAACTACAGTTTATGAATACATATTCACAATAAACTACTTTACAGAGGTTTTTCAATGAACAGTGATTATTATGGAAACTTTAAAAATCTTCATATTATGAACTAGAAAAACATATATGAGCGAAATATATTGTTTTTAATTAGATCTTCATCAAGCTTTACTCTAATATACTTTGAAAATTTATAAATTTAAACCAGTCAGCACTTTTGTTAAACATATTGTCCATTAAAGTAATATAATATATTTCCTTATGAGTGTTACATTTTAAGAATCATGTTGTTTGCTTTCCTTAATAACATTAAATGCATTGGTAAAACTAGAAACACTTAAAAACATTGAATGTTGAAACGTAATTCTTCACTCTTATGAACTCTCTCTCATAAAGTAAGTGCATTTTATCAAAATGTGGAGTTTATGGTTTGTACTGTAAATCGAATAAGGTGAGGATGAATAGAAAAGAAAATTTGAAGGAAGGTGTCAAATATAATCGTTATATACCAATTCAGTCAATCAATCATTCAGTCATAATGTATAAACTGGTACCTACGTACATCATTTCACGTTGTCATACTCCATCAAATTAGCGAGATAAAATTATCAGAGTAGATCTCAAAGTAGCGAAAGTACTAATAGTATTAGTGGTAAAATCAAGCATCTAAGATACGACTCAAGAAAATATAAATTAGCGGAACTAAAAAGGTTTAGAATCTGGAAGAAGACAATGACTCGATACACCTGCGCCATTCTAAATGATTTTGAGTCATATCACCCGGTCTCTAATAAGTGATGACGGTAATCATGCGTACAATGAACAATTAGTCTACACCTGATAACATAGTTCAGTCCGATTATCAGTGTCTTCATAGACTGATGCCATGTTTTGATTTAGTCGCCCTCAGCTTTCTTTTAGTTTACTACTACATCAGAAATCTCACATCGAAGTAGACAGTGGTCGGGTATATGTAACACATGTACCAGACAACTCAGTTGATAAAAATTTACTATTAACAAGTCATGTAATTTTATTTTTCATGTTGAATAATTAACTGTACTCTTCATTAGAGTCAAATATGTGTACATACGTATATAACATAGTTACAATTTGGTAAGACTATTAGAAAGACTACATATATTGTAAAAACCGTGAAATTAGTGATATTACAATTTCAACCAAATACCTAACAAGATAAAATGGATTCTTGAAATTTAACCAGATTCTTTCAAAAAATCGAATTAGTGATTGAAAGAAAATCAGGTATGAGAAACCCAGATGAAGTTATAATATTCTAAATGAAGATATTCTTATACACTAGTGGTATATATATATATATATATATATATATATATATATATATATATATATATATATATATATATATATATATATATATATATATATATATATTCACCAAATGAGGATTAATCGTATTAAGAACGAATTCACATGTAAATAAGTTCATAACATGTAATTAGAGATCTTACTCTCGCATTTTCTCTCTTCTCTTCTAATTCCTTAAGTATTTCCGATCGTCTTTTGTCCATGGCCAATTTCTGTAAAAAATAAAATAAGGAAAAAATTAGTTTTAAAGGAATCTAAAAAAACGATAGATCAATAGAAAAAAATACATAAGTTTCTTATAGGATACTGGTCATGATTAAACGCTTAACTGGAATGAATGATATGTATAATAAATGATATTTCTTGGATAAATGTCTAAATCGATCGTTATGGAGTAATAATTTTCATTCATTTATGTGAAAGGTATTGGGTTACTTATGTGATAGAAATTAATGGATAAAGTATTGTAGTACATGCTACTTATACTGACAGATATAAGTAGTACTTAGAAGTAATCGAAAGTTGGATGTCTCCCAGTAGAAGATTCATTTGAAAAGAACAGTAAGGGAAATAGAGAGTAATTGTTTTAAAAAATAGAATTGGAAGAATCATGAAGTACGTACAGGGCAAATAATGTGTTTAATGTATGGTTATCATATTTTACGAACCCACTCTGTAAACATTAAATTGGTTTTACTCATTTGAGGTCTCATTCACAACAGTATATCCCTAAATATTTAAAAGCAACTGAAGATTTATGCCATCTTTTCTTCATAAGAGTTTTAAAGTCCATGTGGTATACTTACGTATAATTATAACAGTTAACATTGATATCTAGTCACTGGAATATTCCCATCATATCAGAAACACAAGTTTATGAACAAAGAATAACTTTTCGCAACAAATTCTTTTCATGTTCTGCAACTGTATATATATATCCAAAATATTAATCCAAAAGGTGATCAGATTTAAGGCAAAATAGAGCCATGTTAATTCAGAATTTTTCTAATAAACATAAATTTGTTAATGTTGAGATGACGAACATACAACGTCAACTTGAGCAAGTTTGTATGGTATTGTAGGATATAAGTAATATGGTTCGAGAGACATGATATAATATATTAAACGATGTATTTACCTCAAACCTGATTATTTTTTAGATTATGAATTCGGATATATAGTTGTAGAATTTGAAGAGGATATATTCTTCGTTCATAGTATTTGTTTATTTATATTTAGTCCAATTACTGGGACATTAGGTAATATTTTATTATTCTGTTTTGGTTTCAAGTGGTGATAAACTTGTTATTTAGTATTAAATGTCATGAAATGAATATTATTCATCCATGCGACTATTCCAAACCGTGATTATTTCGAAGTTCATTTGAATGTCGAGTCATTCATCAGATATCCAACAAAGCATTCAAATGAATATTGTTCATATAGGAAATTGATCATAAGTTTATACCTAATTCTTTACTTATTTATACATACAGTGGAGTAAATCCTAAATTTTCACCTATATCTGGTCACAGAATGTAACAGGTGATAGCATTTTGACAATTTGGAAGCAACATATTCATTGGTCAGAGACGATATTCAGGAAATAAACAAGTCTAAATATGAAGATGAAATAGGTCAACTGGATTTTTATGACAATCAATTTGTTTTAAATTAAAACTAATAGTTTGTAACAAGATTTGTTATCAAAGTAAGCAAGCGGTAGCAGTCCAATCCAGAGGACACAGAATTTAGTAAAATTGCTAGTTTAGATAGTTTATATTTGTTTAGAAAGCACTAATTTCTCATACTACTAACTTTTTTGGCAGTTTTCCATTCCATCAATTTAGCTGCATTCTCGGCTTTTTTTGCCATCAATTTACGCCATATCTCCAGTCTAGGTGGTAACAATCTGGAGACAACTTCGTCAGCTTCAGTGGTTAAAAATATTGCATAATCAAAAAAATAGTTGGATGTTACTAAAAACTGAAGGTCTTCTACACTTTGAGGAAAACCATCCAGTATGAAACCAGTCGATTTATATGGTTCTTGTTTCCAAAACTTCCCAAGTAACCATTCTAATGTATCATTAGGTATTGATGTAGAATTTAATAGATATTCATAAACATTTGTTTCATGTTCATCCAACAAAAGTGATTTATCTGACTCGTCTGTTATTTCTGTTAAATTTGGCTTTTGTATTACATTCTCTGATGCTTCTCGTTTCTCATCATTTTCGTTTGCTGACTCTTCTAGTCTTTTATAATCAAGAGAAAAAGAATAAATAGAACAGTATAAATCATAAACTGAAAGACAATGTATGTTCGTTTTACATTAAAGTGTGTGGTGCTAAAAGAGTATAGAGTCTCCTGACTTTTATCCAGATCGTTAGGATGAAAGAAAACAGTCAAAAGAAACTATTGCATTTTTCTATGGATTATTATTGCGAGTAATTAGATAACTAGTGAATAATATGCTTTGTCATTCTTCTATTTAGCTTCTATATACCGGCAAAATAATTATTCTCATTTTATGTAAAAAATGAGATTATAATTTATGGACAACCAGTAAGCGATACTAAAGTGACCTTGAGAGTGCCTACCTACTTACTGAGGTTAACTGATGGTTATAAAGCAGTTTGAAGAATAAGGATTATGATTTACAGTTGAGAGTTAGGGTTAGGAATTAGATTTAGGGTTTTCATCACGAACTGACATCAGCTATAATGCCAAGATTCTATTTAGCCAAATGGGTGAATGAATTTCGCGGCGAAATTTAAGATCTGTTATCCTCAATTTGATTGGTTCGTCCATAAATTGTAGTCTTACCCTAAAAAATTATGAACCCTTCAAAATGACCATTCTTTATACAATCTCAAGCTCACCGTGACAAACTATTATATAGTCAATGTTTAAATCAGTTAATCAGTAAATGGATTCAGAAAGCAAAGTGTATTCTATAATTCCCGGTTATTTTCTTAACAAAACATCTTTCAACATGTTATCCATCATATTCACGCAGTGTGAATATAAAAGAAGCGAAACTATTAAATATTTCATGAGAACATATACACTAGTCCTATTATGACACATTGTCTATGTTTATCATCTTCCTAAACTGAATTGAATACAATTTATTGTTTGTTTGATGATTATTATCTTTATCAGTATCTATCGTAGCCAAAATATTTACTTGATAGATGAAATAAAACAGAGAAAACTTCTTAGATTCATCTATTTATTAAAATTGTTGTGGAGATCCAGAAAAAGCCAAGAAAGACTGAAAACACTGGGAACCATCTTATCCAATCAGCGTCCACTAGAAGTTTTACCAGAAACATCTAGAAGTTGAAAAGTCACATTTCGAGTTCCAGATTGGATGATTACTACATTGCTACTATGTTCAGTAGCATTCTGGAATTCTCGGGAATACCCAAGGACATCTAAAATACTATAAAAACCCTATATTTTCTGTACATAAATGAATCTTCGGAATAAAGTGTTTCTTGCATATTTTGCGACTTTTCTCTTGTGTTCAAGTCGTTGTGTATTTCCAGCTTGGAGGTTACTAGAAGAGCTTAGGAACCGAATATAACGTTCAATTAGCAAGACTTATCAAAAAGTAAGAATAGTATTTTAAAGAAACTGAAAAGACACTATAAAAAAAGAATTATTGGTAGTGTATTTTTCAACTTGTAATATTTAAAATAAGCTTAAGTACAATGATACTAAACATGGATGTAAGCAGGCATATACGAATTTGTTATTAAAATCAATTTTTATGAAATTTCATGTAAGTACTAATAAATACTACTCATATAAATAAATGATGATATAAAATTTATAACAACCGTATACATTCTATATCTTACGGAGGCAATACAATATCCGGTATAGGTTCTTGATCTGCATACTGTTTACCAATCTTCTTACCAAGTTTTGGAAATGTTATCTCTTGTAATAAACTTAAGAAATCAATATGTACTAGATTTAAATTCAATGCTATTTGACGACTGTGCAAAGACTTCCCCGTACCAGTTGGTCCAAGTATTAAGATTCTTGGCGGTGGAGGCTAGTGTTTTGTTTGTAGAAAACAAACATTTATATAAATTCTCTCTATCATTTTCAAATTAACACATATATTATTATAAACTAAATGGATAATTGGAGAAAAGAATAGTTTACCAGTTCCTTCAGAATTTCAAGAATTATACGTTTTCTCATGCATTGTTTTTAAATTACCTTAAAGAATTACTTATCTACTTCTGTCTTTTAACTCCATCTTTAGTTCTTCTAGAATTACTGCTGGCCCCAAGCCCGGGTAAAGGAGGAAGGTTTAGTAAAAGTTCAGCAACCTTATCCCGTAAAAAACAACCGTGCTAAAAAAACACTTCTGTCTCTTTAAAGGAATAGTGAAAGTGGCGGAAACAATTTACTTTGTTAATGACTCATACTTATCAGTGTTTAATAAACAGACAGTTACATTTGAAGAATTTTTGTAGCAACACTTTTCAATGATCATCTACAATGCTAATTAAAAATTTAATTGTAACTGTGGGGTTTTTTACTAAAATTAATCCTAACAATCAGAAACGAGTTCAAACTGACAAGTTAGAGTTCATAAAAGTTAATGAATATATCAGTTAGACATCTGAATTGAACTAAACATTTTTAACGTATTTATTCTAAAAAGATTGGAAACTGATTAGCATCTACTTACTTGACCTTTGTCAGAAGTAGTAGCTTAGGCGTTGAACTAATTTTCTTTTAGTAAATAGCTCAAATTTCCAACTTCTATTTCATATAATTTCATTTAAGCGATACACTTTTCAAACAATATGTACTGGGTATACGAGTTACATTTTTTATTGAATTTGTGAATAACGTAATCAAAAGACAGAAACTAAAATATGTTAACCTTTCTATTAATTAGAAATCGATATAGAAAAATAAAATATAATGTCATGTCCAATATGTTGAATAATATTGTTCAGCCAGTGATATTCATCATCCAAAAACATACATCAACGATTTTTCAACATTTATCGATAGCGAGACTATAATTTATGGACGAACCAATCAGGTAAAAGATAACAGGTCTCGGATTCTAGCGCGAAATTCACCCATCTGTTTGGCTAAATAGAGTTTTGGCATTGTAGTTGATGTCAGTTCGTAATGAAAACTCTAAATATAATTCTCAACCCTAACCATAAACTGCAAATCATAATTTTAATTCCTCATGCTGGTTTACAACCCTTATTTGATCCTAGTTATTACGTGAACACTCTCAGGGTCACTTTAGCGCCATACAATGGTCGTCCATAAATTATAGTCTCGCCTCATTTTTGTTTAAATAATAAGTAATCATATTTTAATATTGAATATCCTTGGTTGCACAATAGATGCATATTTTAGGATAATCAAACAATATAGTGTAGTATTTAGTTCTGTTGAAATAAGTTTGCATTGAAGAAATTATCAAAGATCTGTTTCTTCTCAGTTAAAATTTTCTCAAACTCAAAACACTATTACCATTATTTCTGAAGTTTAAACAGTAAAATGTTATAGGATATTATAACACGTATGATATTCCTGGTTAGCATTTTTTGGCGAATTAGTTTTCTACGGGATGGGGTCTTCAATTCCATGCTCAACCCTCCTGCTTTACCCAGGCTTGGGACCGGCAGTAACTCTAGAAGAACTACAGGAGGAGCTGAAACTTGAAGAACTACTACAACCATCATCAATAAGTTACACGCATTTATAAATAGTTGTCTAGGCAAGATACTTAACATCCATTGACCGGATACCATCAGCAACAGCCTTCTGTGGGAACAAACCGGCTTTCAGCTTAAGAGGAAATTAGAAAAAGACGATGGAAATGGATAGGACATATATTGTGGAAATCACCAAACTGCATCACGATGCAAGCACTAACTTGAAGTCCTGAAGGGAAGCGGAAAGGAAACAGGCGGAAGAACACACTGCGTCGAGAATCGGAAGCAGATATGAAAAGGATGAATAACAACTGCAAAGGATTGCCCAGGACAGGGTTAGATGGCGTGTGCTGGTGGACGGCCTATGCTCCTACACGAGGAGTAACAGGCGTAAGTAAGTAGTGATATTCCTGATCACCCATCTAAAAGAATGGTTTTAGTGTAGTTTATATCTTTGTTAAGCAATCTCAGTTTATGAAGTTTTTAATTAGTTGTACTGTTACCAGAAAAATTTCAAAAGAAATATTCAACTGTTTGTTAAAATATATCAATATTAAACAGAACAAATGAATCTATTGAATAATCACTGATTCTGATGGGTCAGTAAATTAATTTCATGAACATGTAAATTAAATCACAACATAATACAATGATTTATCAAACTGACCAAATATGTATTATATTGGTTAATATTCAATAACTGATTATTGTAATTAATCTAGAATATAAGTCAGTGAATAAATGAAAAAACCAATGCAAACGCCTACGATCATAGTAGTTAATGAAATTTTTTTCTGATCTAAATGCATTTTCTAGAATTTACAAATATGTGATGATAATAAAAATGCTAAAATTCAATGAGCAAAAATTCAAAAATGTTGTTGTTATAACTTGTCAGTTGAATGCTACTTGTTATATCTGGTCATCGCTGATTGTTGTGTCAAAAACGCGTATCATTTATACTCGAAATGAGGGACCTCTACAATTCCCACGACGCGAAAGTAAGAACACAAAGACTAGTATAAGTGAATATTTATTAACCCCAAAACACGACGACGACAACCCTAGTCGAAAATACACTCACTTACATATTGATTGTACACACACTTTGATGATTAATAATTAGGATGAAGTCACATATATGGAAAATACTCAGTTATAACAAATCGCATACTGAGCATAGTTCATGTCAATTGAATACAAGAATATAATATATTATACAGAATAAAATATCATACGAGAAAACAAAATCGAATACTATACTGAATAATCATCACATTGAATCAGAAAGGAAGTAATGTTGAACAAAGCTCATAACTATTAAACCAATCGAATTTCGACTTTTATTTCCATCTTATCAGTTGTATCAATATTTCACGAAATATCCTAACAAATTGACTTGTAGTAATAAAGCCTGGAAGCACTCAATGGCCGTTTCGTCATAGTGTGGGACTTTTCAGCAGTGCGCATCCATGATCCAGCACGTGGGATTCGAACACAGAACCTTCGGTCTTTCACTCAAACGCTAAACATCTAGACCACTGAGCCGGCATCCATCGGTGTTAATATCTAACTTTAATCAATCCACGAAATCGCGTGACCATCTTCCATTTTCTGAGGCAGATATATGTTTCTACCTGACATGAATTAGACCCCACTCATCACGGCTTCTCACTAGAACTCCGAGAATTCCCTCACGAAACTAGTCACTAATGAGTGCATGATAATTATCAGTATGGGGTTGTGGAGATTGTTTGAGATCATGATCATACTGTTTATATTAATAAACAACAAATCAAAGAATTCTGTTAGAAAACAGAACTCTAACTTAATAATAAAAAATAAATGTTTCTTGTGTGATTATTTTCATAGATGAAAATGTTTTTCTTAAATACAAATGAAGTCCATACGTCAAAAATATTTGTTGATTAACGTGGTTGCTCCATAATCTGTAACTTATTGTGATGTATGCTACTTATGTGTGCCGATCTAATTAGTATTTAACACCAGTCGGAAGTGAAATGCTTGCAAGTAGAAAGTTAAAAAAGATTGAAATGAAGAGAAGAGAGAAGGGAACTGAAAACAACAAAGACAACAACAGGAATGAAGGATTAATGAAGCTTGTAAGAGACAATTCAAAAATGTACAAATGATGTATTTGATGCATGGTTTTCAAATTTTTATTAAACCATTGTGTGACTGTGCACTAAACAATGAATTGGTTTTCCTCACCTGAGTTCTCATTCATTCCACCATTACAAAGTAAAATAAAAGCTTGTTAGTTGAAAAATATCTACAATGAAGGGTGTATTTTATTCTGTACATTTAGTAAGCTATAAAAAACATATTTAAACCATAAACATAGTAATATCATTCACAAAACCTAATTCAAGAGGTATTCTTGTCAGTCACTATGAATGATTTGGTAACAGTAGTGAAAAATTCACTTGGTGTTGTTTTACTTGTATCTTCCCATTGTTATTTAAGAGTGCAATTGATCAGTCTCATGTTGGCATATGTGCATCCTGTGCAGATTGCCATGATATAGCCTTAAGTCACGAGGTTTATAAGCAAAGATGGATAGTAGCTAACAATGGAATCCGGGACTCGATGCAAGTACATCCAGATGATGAGTCCCAGATAGGACGACACGCGCGTCAAACTGGATTCCACTGCTAGCCACTATCCATCTTTGCTTAAAAAGTAGTGAAAAATGTTTTAAACAAATCTAATATTCTACATAGAGATAAACGGTGGGCTAAAAAATAACTTTTCAAATTATACACTATTTTTTTATAAAACTAACCTTTAATAATCCATTTGAACCATTTAATATGACATTTGGATTTTCCATAAACTTTGATCTGGCCTCTTCATTAGAAAAGTAATAAATTAAATTTTGATGAACAGCTACGATTTCTGGATCACCAGCACGCAATACACCATATTCACGTAGTGTTACTGGGCAGAAATAACTTGTTAAGCCTAAATTTTTCTGTAAATTTCTACTTGAATCTGATTCCTAAAACACCAATATAGATGAGACTTTTTTAAATTTAACTTGGAAAAAAATGAGTAAACAGTTATTCCGTGTATATAAATATAATATCAAAATAACTTTCACCGTATACCGATATCTACTAGAGAACATTTGAAAATTTCTAAGTCTCATATTGAGATAACTCAAAAATGTGTATCGTTAGGTAACAAAATTTTGAACCTTATGATCCAACGATGAATGTAATAACTTGAAATCACTGATTCAGACTGCGAAATTCCATATTTTCCAACCTCAATGTTTTACAAGAAATAAACTGCTGAAAATATCATCCATTGTCTGAAAGCATCTTATTGATTGAAACCATCGGAGAATCCGGCTTCTTTAATATTTAAAAACGTGAGTAAACACTGATTATTAGACCAAACTCGAAATGAAACGTTTGTCCATTGCTTTCTGATTTTTAACAATGATTTTTAGCTAATCTTTGTTATAAAAATGGTCATCAGAATAGACAATTATCTCTATTTTTAGATAAAACTAGAAGCAGAGGACAGTCGGCTGGTTTTAAGCATTTTCAATTTATTATGAAGTACACTGAGGCTAACAAGTCAAATTTACGGATATTGAGTCAAAGGATGTTTTTGTTTGGTAAAATTGTAACGTATATTGAATAAGATGATTGAATCGTGAAATAACTGCGTTAATCCATCACTTATCATGAATGAGGCCTGAATCGGTTACACGAAATATGATTGTGTTGTATGTTACTTATGTCTGTCGACACAAGTAGTAGGTAACACCAACCGTAAGTAGAATGCCTGCCAGAAGAACATTGAGAAGATTCAACTGAAGAGGGCAAAAAGTGAAACAAAAAGCAATTTTATTAACAACAGAATTGAAAGAAACATGAAACACGTTCAGGACAACTGAAGGAAGATGTGCAAATGATATATTTAATGTATGGTTATCATATTTGATGAAAGCACTTTGTAGTGTTACTTTAAGAATAAATTGCTGTTCTTCGTCTACCACAGAATGACAAAATAATCATTCATTTGTTATCAGAGAAGTGCGTTTAATGGAAATACTTAGCGATCAAGCCATTTCGACTGAATAGAGGTTAAAATAAACAAGAAATTCACAGGTATGTCCATAAGTAGTCCTGAACTTGTACAAGATATTCAGTAATTCAATAAATCGTGTGACGTAATTGTGCAGAAAAACTATTTCCTAAATATATTTTTCCTTCATAATGATAATATCACCGATGCTAATTATTTACTAATGAGATTGTACATATAACTCAAATAAGTATATTTACAAATAAATAAATATCACAGGTTGAAATCATGAGTCAGTTGAAGCTAGACCACCATTGAAAACCTGGAAGCACTGGACGGCCGTTTCGTTCTGGTACGGGACTCCTCAGCAGTGTGCATCCACGATCCCGCACCACGCGGGGCTCGAACCCAGGACCTACTGGCTTCGCGCGCGGGCACTTAACCACTAGACCACTGAGCCGGCATCCAACGGTGGTAATGTCTAACTTCAACCAATCCACGAAGTTGCGCCACCGTACACCATTGTCTTCAGTGAGTTGTTGTCTCACAAAAGACCGGTTGAACTCCACTGGTAACGGCTTCTCACTAGAACTCCAGGAGTTTTTCTTGAAGTCAGTCACTAATGAGCAGTTGATTATTATCAGAATGGGTTTTGTGGAGAGTTTTAGAAATTTTTCACAGGTTGAAAGTTAGACATTAACACCGTTGGATGCCGGCTCAGTGGTCTAGTGGTTAAGTGCCCGCGCGCGAAGCCAGTAGGTCCTGGGTTCGAGCCCCGCGTGGTGCGAGATCGTGGATACGCACTGCTGAGGAGTCCCATACCAGGACGAAACGGCCGTCCAGTGCTTCCAGGTTTTCAATGGTGGTCTAGCTTCAACTGACTCATGATTTCAACCTGTGAAAAATTTCTAGAACTCTCCACAAAACCCATTCTGATAATAAATATCAACACATTAAAAAATTATTTAAATCCTTTCAATTACTTCTTCTTCTTCACCCTCTTCCTCTTCTAGTTCTTCACCTTCTCCCTTTTGTTCACTCTCTTCTTCACCTTCTTCTATACCTTCTTCATCTATACTAAACTCTTCATCAATTGTTTCTTCAAATGCACCAGCATCTTCTTCTTCTTCATCATCTAAATCCTCCTGTGTCTTTGCTATCGGTTCTATTTTAAATTGGTCTAATTGAGGTTAATTATGATAAGAAAATTTAAATCATAATTAACCTACTGATTTATTGATATTCAAGATAAAGTAAATTTGTTGATCTATATGAACGACAGTACTATAGTATAAGACTGGAATTTATATTTTCTACAAATTTTATAAATCACTTTAAAGAAAAAAGATTATTTTCAGTCGGGGCTATTTTAAGGAATCAAATCACTATTCATTATCAATTGAAATCTAGATTCAACTTCAAGATTGGTGTGATATATGAACATAGTCAAATTAAATTTTAAGCGAAGAATATCGAAGATTTTTTCGTACTATTTCTTTATTATCATTGTCTATTGTTACCCTTCATTTCTAGTCGAGTTGGTCTTTTATGTTTATATATATTCTTAACAAGTATATTATGTGTGATCAGATTGTTCGAAATGTATTGCGCTAATCTATCACATACTTTTGATAATCTTCGTCATATTATTACACTATTAAAATTTATCAAAGGGACTAATTGCTTTGAAATTTGTTTTGCCATTTTAACCAATAATAAGTTGTCTAGAAATTACTATTCCTAGTTTTTGTATGTTAGGATAGTCGGAAAAAGAGACCAATAATTATCATGTTAAGTCCAATGGTGTCCTTGAACCTTAAATGTACATTTCTTATTGGTCGATGTTTATTTCACTTGTTAAATATTGTACAAATGTTGTTTCCTATTTTATGGTACGATGTGGGTTGTTTGCTTGGTATATAAATAGAGTATGTTTGAAATACAATGATTCATAACTCCGAGGCTGTGACTTGTGTTCTTCACTCAACTGGGCTAGGACGGACAGCGGAGCAGGGCCAATCAGGGCACTAGGTCGTCCGTACGTGTTTTCCGTGTCACTGTCACAGATCGCGATCGATAAATACGCTGCGTATCCAAACCCTGCAGTCCTCACCCGTTACAACATTGTATTAAAACAAATGTTTATTTATCGTTTTTGTTTTGTATTCTCTTTACTTTTTTTAAACATTTTTGCACTATTGCTTTTATTTCAAATATAATTTTGTACGTATCCAGGATAACTGTGGTGTAACAAAATGAATGAACTTCAGGTAGAAGTTTGTGTCGATGATGTCGTTCAGAAGAACGATGAAAGGTCCACGACCAAACCATCCAGCTCAGAGAACCAAACTCCACCAAAAACATTTATTATCACTAAGAGTGCCATTGACTTATAATATTGATCTGTTTTTTCAATCTTTTTATAACATTTAATTATATTTCAAAAAAAGATAATCATATTAGTTATATTTGTTGATTATAGGCTGTCAAATTTATGATATAGTATATTTATGCTTAGTAAGTAAATTGTAGATTAATTGATACTAAGTACTGTTCACTTTGATGTAAACAGATCTAACAATAATAAGAAAAGATGGATAGTGGCTAGCACTAGAATCCAGGACACACGTTTCGTCCTATTTGTAACCCGTCAGCTGGATATACCTGTATTTTAGACTTAACGTTCACTCCGGGACTTGAACCCAGTACTGCTCGCTTCAATTGACTGGAACATTAAAAATAACACAAACGTTCAATTACATATACATTCCGCTTTGAATTCAGTCTTTTATTTTATTTTGTTTACTTATTGATTTATCTTCATTTAATGCAGGCTGTGGCATTTTTGATTCATTTCATATATAAAAATGATGTTTTCTTAATATGCACAGACCAAAGTCAATATTTAGTTGATTGAAATTTCTTCTCACATCACTTACGTACACACACATTCTGTTATCTTAACACTTTTCCGTTTCATATCACTTGCCCTGTCTTTATGTGTACAATAACAAGTTGTCTTAACCTTGAATTCACCTTGTAATCCTTAAGTCATTCTATGGCCTAGGATAACACGACAATTTCTTATTCTTTCTCTACCCTTGATTATTTTTAATTGAACTTTTATTTGGTTGACCTTTATTATTTTCATATAAACATGTCTCTTACACATTAATGCAAATACCTATTTATAAAATCTTCCACGCTGATTGGATGACTTATTCAGTATACAGTAAACCGAAGAATCATGTACCTATTTATATTCGATAATTTTGATGTTTGTTTATATTTTCCTTGAAAAAGCTTGGACCAGATTGCCAGGCGAAACGTTGGAATTACTTCAAATTCTTTCGCTGAAATTTTACAAATGTATATTATTCCTCTTTAATGACTCACATTAACTCGGCGCCCAAATATTGTGAAACTATTCGTTCAAATTTAGACGAAATTTCTTATTTATTATCTATCTTTGCTTATAATGTTTGTGAATTAAGGTAATATCGGGGCAATACGCACAGGATGCATATATGCCAATAAGAGATTGATTAATTGCAGTCTTAAACACCACTGAGAAGATTCAAGTAAACAATACTAAGTGAATTTAAATCTAACATTTAATCAGTGTAAATTATATGAAAATTCAATGCATTTAAGTATTCATTTTTTATTTATTGTGAATGATAAATGAATTCTCATTTATCGTTTTTTATGCGTTTACTTGTATCACAAGATACACAATTTCCAGTAACAAGGACTAATTTATCCGCAGATGCAAAAATGTTATATGAATAAAAGATTTTTTATCACTTCTCACCCCCCCCCTATTAAACCAAATACAAAAAGTTAAGTAGCACCAGTTAGTTATTTTGTTTCAATCAAATATCGTTTATTATGATATTTAATAAACTTTGACAAATTAGTTAAACAACTGACCGAATTGTTATTAGAAATAAATAAATTTTTGATAAGATGAAACTGATATCAACGATTAATTTTAATATTCGTTTATGATTTTAAATCGCTTACAAAAAAATGTCGACACTTAACTCTTTTACGTTGTAGCGGCAGATAATTCCACAAAATAAATAGCTCTGTAAGTTTTCGATATTGGATGCTGACCACATTAGTTTTAATGGACTCACCTGGCTGAAGGCTCTCGGTCATGCATCTGTACCAGATCACGAGTGTGAACGCCGTGCTCAACAACCCCTGCAATCGCTATCCAGATTAGATCAGACGATCACCAATATATTGATAACCTATCAAATATATCTTCGAACCTCCTCGCTTCTGTCTTTTGATTTCACTTGGGGGGTACGCTTCATATTAAAAGGTGTTACTGGTTAGAGCGTTGTCAAACTCCGAATACCTGTGGCATCTTCAACGTCTTATCCATTAATGTAAGAAATTTAGTTTATAAGTAATTTGATCCTAATACATTTACAGATCAACGTTAAAAACCAACAGAATATTTGACTTCAGAACCCTTTTTTGTAAAATTATGTAAGAAATAGCTTTTCAAACTAAATCTAAACAATTTATGATCAATTTGGCTAATATAATGAGATTATTTTCATATATCTATTTATATAAAAACTATCTTATTAATGAGCGTGAAGTAACTTGCTCTTCACATTAAATAAATAACATTGGGAAAATTCTAAGTAGAGATGGATGGTGGCTAGCAGTGGAATCTAGAATGGGTGTTTTATCCTATTCGGGACTCGTCAGTTGAGCGCACTTACATCCCGGAGTTGATGTTCGTTCCAGGACTTACTGATAATGTAGTGTGCTACTTATATTGACATAAGTAGTACATGTTATTAGTCGTGAACAGAAGGTCTGGCAGCAGAGAAACAAGAGGATCGAACAGTAAAGAATGGAAACAGAATGCAATTTGTATGAAAATGCAAGAACAATGAAGTCTGAGTCATTTTGAGACAATCGGTGGACATTTTATAAATTAAGCATTTACTTTATGATAGGTTTTATTAGCAAGTCCTGTAATTTGTGTTAAGTACATTCGATTGTCCCCACTGGTGTTCTTGTTCACTACAGTAATACCGAGGTAATCCGCATAAAATGCACATATGCCAAATAGGGACTGATCAATTGCAGTCCTAAACATCAATGAATAAATCTAAAAAATGAAGTGAAATTAATATTGGATACAGTTTTGTTTCCTCAACAAAATATAGTCAGATATCTTCATAAAATAAACTTACTAACTAAACGATCTAAAACTTCATCTCTCATTTGATCTATTGTCTTATCAGTTATATTCAATTCCATAACATCAACAGGAGCACCTAGCGGTTGAGTTGTACGCTTTAACAAATCAAAACTTTCTGTCCATAATTTTTCTGCCTCTTTAAGTTTCAATAGGGCAGCTTGACCATGACTTCCATTTAGAAGAATGGTTTCCTCGGATATTTTAGGTTGTTCACTTTCAAGATCTTCAGTGATTACACTCTCAATATTCTCGGTTAGATCAACTGATTCTATGCCTGAAATGTTTTTTTGTTGCAAGAATAAAGGATTACATACATTTTATTTCGCATTGAATTAACGGGAAACTATTGTATGATAATGCTTGTCGATTGCTTAACATCCAGCATACTAAAGTCTAAGTGACTTGTAAAAATTATCTTGTTAAATAAACGACTGTTTAAAATAATTATGAATGGTAAATATTAAAATAAAACCTAAGAAACTGTTACATAGTAAATAGAATTCCCAACCACAATCTAATTGATATGCTGTCGAGGAAACAGTACTAACCAAATTTATTAAGATACATTCTGATTTCATTTCCTGTTTTCAGTGATAATATATATTTCCCATTGTCTTAGACAAATGGCAAGTAAATTCGAATATTCATACAATCATTTACTTTAAGATCTAAAATAATTTCGTTTCTCTTATTTAACCCAGAATGGTGTGTTGATATATGAGACTGATAAAAATATATATTTCATTCATTGACTTGACACACATGACATTGATCACCACCCAATGATCAATCAATTGTGATTAAATCTCAGTCCTACAGGAGGTCGGTCGCTGCCCGGATAGCTCAGTGGTAACGTCTCTGAGTGTGAAGCTGGGTGACACGGGATCGAATCCTCCAGGGAGCACCAGTTCCCTCAAGATTACAGCTACACCTTGCTGACGAGTGCCAAGTAACACGAAACCCGGGTCCAGGGTTTCCTGTTAACTACCTCCAACCACCATCTAATTTCATTCATTGTAAATAGTGAAGCAAGAAAGTACTAGTTACACTAAGCATTCAATTCCGATGTGATGTAATTCATGTTATGGCGTCATTAATATGGAGTTACTCGGTTAAAATCATTTGATTCTTTTAAAACTTGATTATCATATTTTTATCCGGGAAAATAAATTATTTGAGATAGTTAGCATTCAATAAAGTTTCATTGTGTTATATATGTGGAATTTTACAAATTAGTACCCTATTCTTATTGAAATACCTAACTCAGAGATATAAAGAATAGATAATAAATAGTCAATTACGAAACCTAGGTTATTCAAGGTTGCGTACTTACTATCTTTATCCACCCAACAATCCTAAACTTTTCATAAATTAGTAGTTAGTGTAATAATTGTCACGGCATGAGTTATTAATGATATATACTGGTAACAAATTTTATCCTGAAATCAAATCAGCTAGGGAAATATTAAAAATCATGAAACATTAGACAAATCACAATTGATTGATCACTGGGTGGTGATCAATCTCATGCTTGTCTAGTCCTTATTAGTGCAGATCGAATGCTATCGATCATGTTGCAATGTGGCCACCAGTCTAGGTGACTCGACACTGCGGGCACTATGTAATGAGATTAGATGGTGGTTGGAGGTAGTTAACAGGAAACCCTGGACCCGGGTTTCGTGCTACTTGGCACTCGTCAGCAAGGTGTACCTGTAATCTTGAGGGAACTGGTGCTCCCTGGCTGATTCGATCTCGTGTCACCCAGCTTCACAGTCAGAGACGTTACCACTGAGCTATCCGAACCGCGACTGACCTCCAGGGTTTCCTGTTGACTACCTCCAACCACCATCTAATCTCATTACATAGTGCCCGCAGTGTCGAGTCACCTAGACTGGTGGCCACATTGCAACATGATCGATAGCATTCGATCTGCACTAATAAGGACTAGACAAGCATGAGATTGATCACCACCCAGTGATCAATCAATTGTGATTACATCTCAGTCCTACAGGAGGTTAGTCACGGCTCGGATAGCTCAGTGGTAACGTCTCTGACTGTGAAGCTGGGTGACACGAGATCGAATCCGCCAGGGAGCACCAGTTCCCTCAAGATTACAGGTACACCTTGCTGACGAGTGCCAAGTAGCACGAAACCCGGGTCCAGGGTTTCCTGTTGACTACCTCCAACCACCATCTAATCACATTAGACAAATGTTTCATCATAGTCTAGATTCCTTAGTATTGAACAAATCTTGAAAGTAAGATGATAATCACTAAATGGGAGTGAATTTCAGAAAATCAGATAAGCTGAAAATGTAAGTCATTAGATTTCAGTTTAGTGACCTAAACACATCTATTTTACTGTTGAATCTGATGGTTTTTGGATTTGATCCAGTGTGAGATCTTGAGTTCACAATAGCTTTAAAAATAATCAGTAGTTACTGTAAAACTATTACAAATAAATTAATAACTACAAAATATTTTACAAACCACTGAATTCTTCTATTTTTAATTGAATCCATCGTCGAAGTAAGTACTCTGAATTTATACTTGTATCTTGTAAGTAAACGATTAAATCAGGCATTAATTCTGGAGCATTCTCCGTGAAACTTCTCCAAACATCTGGACGTACAGGAAGACCATCAATAATCCACTGACCGTGACTAAAGAATATATGTCATATGAATATGTCATATAAATAATGCTTATCTCAAAATAACCTGAGGTTAATCAGCCAAAAAAAAAATTGAAATTGTTTCATAATCAAATGATACATGCAAAGTCGAAGCTCATTGTCAACGATAGTAACACTAAAGTTTGTGTTTATATTTAAGAAGCTCCTCAAAAAGGAATTTAATTCTTGTGTATCATGATTCCACTTAAAACACTCAGCTTGGCACATGAATGTCTTTACTTTCATATATATTTCAAATAAGTATCAGTCACTTACTTTAATAGAGAAACTGAAGAACTGTTAATTTTTAAGCAATAATACCGTTAGGTGTAAAGTCAGAGGTTTGATTCCTGTGTTCGGGATCGTGGACACTTACTGCTGAGTAGTCCCATACTAGAACGAAACGGCCGTCCAGTAATTACAGATTTTCAATATTAGTCTAACACTGATCTATTTGTTATTTCAATCAAAATTATTTTAAATAATAACAATTTAAAAGAGAATCTGTTCTTAACACTAAAAACTATTTAAAGTAATTTAGTTTTACTTACTATGGACCACCTGGATTATCATTACGTAATTTGGTTTCAGCTTCATCAACTGCTGCACGAACAGCATTTATGTAAAAATCTACTTCAATTTCAATTGACTCTTGTTTAATACTCTGAAGAGCTTCTGCAACACGCATTTTAACTTTTGGATGATCTTTATCTATTGGTTGAAGTAAATCTATGAAGTGATTTACAAAACAATAGCTATTAGGTTGTTACCATATTTTTGTTTATGTTTATGATGAACAAAAACAGTTTTTTAAAAAAAATGCATTAATTCGAAGTCTGTTTTACCGTTGCAATCTGTTAACCTATTCAATGAAGACGAAAATTCTATAGACATTTGCTTTGAATTTTCTAAGATTTCACTTAAGGTCATTTGCAACTTCTAGAGTAAAGAAAAATACTTATTGAGAGTTAAAATAATAAAGGAAAAAGGAAATGGTTTGAATAAGAAATCTCTTTGATGATCAAATATCATATATGAGAACAAAAAGAAAAGAAAAGAATAAATGTACAAATAGTATTATTTTTATTGAGGAGTGAACATTAAATGGTTTAAAGCATAATAAATTAATCGAGAATCTCATAAAAAGTAGATATGAATTCATTATAATGGAAATTTTCTTGAAAAAGCTTGGACTAGATTGTTAGGCAAAACGGTAGATTTACTCGAAATTCTTTCGCTGAGATTTTTCAAATACATTCTTTCTCATTAATTATGAAAATTGTTCAAATAAAATGATAATTTCAACTTAAAAATGGATTGTAACCAAAATGATATGGAAATAGGTATTAGACTGTGATAAACTTATGTAACTCGAAATTGTTATCTTGGTAAGAGGAGACAATAAATGGGTGTATGTAAGGATACCAGTAATGCATAGAAGGTGTTCATACTCTACTCTGAAATGTATTTGTTCACCATGTACATATTTCTCAATAAAGCGTTTACCAAGTTTTGAAAAGAGGCTTTATTATTCATATCGACAGATTCCTGTTTCTTTTTAACCATACTAAATAGTGTGATTTAATCCTACTTAAAATAACACTCGTCGAATGGCCAATATATCATATTTTTGAAAACCAAGTTAACCGATGAACGAACACTGAGGTTGTCATATAAGTAAACTTATCCTCTACACCTTTAGTAATGTGAGGTCTGCTGGAGAACATTAGTATCAGTGGAGGTGTAATGGAATTCCCTATATCGAGCTTGATATCTCATACATTAGACAACTCACAATCATATTTCGTTTAATTCAATAATGTAATAATGTAAAGGATATGTAAAACAAGTCATGTAGTAATATTTGGTGACCCTATATCTAACTTCAATTAGATCGTATGAATGATCGTTATCGAAATATACATATCGTCAATCCTCGTATATTACTATCGATTTATTTCGCATTAGTGGATAACGGATTTAAATATGTCAAATATGAGAATGAAGTTTTGAATGCTTATATTTTGTACACTCAATGATCTGGACAGACAATTAGTGGAACGAAACGAAGAAAGAGAATCATAATGACGCGCGGTGGAGAAAGAGTGTGAGCCAACTCAACTAAGTGTTAATCGATATTTATAGCCGAACAGAAAATAGTTACAGACATGCGATGAGTAGGGTAAGAAATACACACACATGTGCTTACATAAAAACAATCAAGGTTGATAAGCCAATAATTAAAAAGGTCAAAACGTGACTTAAGAAGGATGAATAAATTGGCTTGTCCGGAAGCCAGAATAAGCTATGTCGGTTAACATAGCTATTGACACTACAAATACTCTTGTTTTTAATAAGATTAGATTGGAAGTAATGCTTGACATATTAGTGGAATTTTTTCTAATATAAACTACATTCTACATTGTTCCTCGACTAAGTTCATTAACAAAATAACATAAAATTATATCCTTTTGTTATTGAACTATGTGAAGGAACGTTTTTAATGTAGTCATGAAATCATGTAATTCTGTCTAAAACAGTAACTTTCAGACATGTTTATGCATTCTCAGCATGATGGCTCGTTATAAATAGTTCTAAGTTATTGGAAATTTGTTTATTTATTATTATTTACATAAATGAAATACAATACTATTTTTATTATGATAAAATGTTTTTTTTAGTTTGCACATAGTTTACAACACGAAATTACTTCAGTTAGGTAGCCATCGAAACATTGAGCTACGGCTAATGGAATTCAAGATGAATAGTAATGAAACATATATCACTAATGCCACTGGATGGTCGTTGAAGACTATCGTAAACTGATTGAAGTTAGAGATATTGATCAATGGATTTTAATCAAATGATCTGATTAAATACTGCCGGCCCTGATCTCTGAAGATTCTAGGTTTGACCCCCAGGTGGATTGAGATTGTCCATATGAAAGGATTAAAGTATTACATGTTTAATTTAAATACAAATACTTGAATTGATGGCTCCAATTCACATAACAAAACACGTTCGTCACAGCACTGGAAGAATATTAAAACACTCGACAAATAGCTCTAGACATCCCAGTTTTATTCATCACGTAATATGCATTGATCAGATTTGACTAAATAACCCAATCTAAACTTTTAGATACTCCGAAAGACTACTTTACTAAATTCTGACCAACTTTCAGTATCAAAATATATTTTTGCTTATTTTTATCATTACTACTAGTACACCAGTTATCAGTATTACGACGGTATTTTATTTAACTTATAGCACTAATTCATGTGGCTTTCTGTAATGAGATTGTTAATTACTAATAATGCTATATCTTTAATCGAACAGCACCGGCTATTTTTACTTTAAAGTTATTTTAATATATTTTCCATGAAAACAAAATTTGTATGTATTCTGGCAAAATTATTATTGATATCGTGTATAAAACGAAATTCGTGTAACTTATCATTATCTATGAAGTTGTAGTTTAAATGATGAATTTTTTACCTGACTAACGGATTTCAACAATCCATTCAGTTATGTGATCATCACCGAAGATATTGTATAATGGTCTCATAAAACACTAAAACGACTGAAATTGTAAATATCAAACATGAATGGTGATTCATTGATATAAACAAATGGAGCACACAGTGAATACTAAAGATCCAGGGCTACAACGCCTTTGTGGTCATGGGTGTCCAAATGGTAGGGAGTACCGTTTTAGAACAAAACATCTATCTGGTGCTACTTAGTTATGGATGGTTGTCTAGCTACAGTCAATTTATAACGTAAACTATTTTCAAACAGTAGCCAATATATTCTCAACCAAATCACAACCATTTGCTTACTAATGTCTATCTTCAACAAGAATTCCTAAACGTCTAATAAAAAGGCGGAATCCATGAAGTTTAAACATTTGCTTATATTTTTAGGAATACGTTTTGGAAAATTCAATCACTTACATTGTGGAATGTAAGACGATGATGATTGTTCTTTCTTTTCATTCAATTCACTTGTCTCTATATGAAGAAACAAATTTTATGCAAGTAAATGAAGTAATTTACACAAACTCATCAATTAATTTATAAATTACATAATTATTATGTAGAATCATTAACGAGGAAGAATGTATTTGTAAAATCTTAGCGAATGAATTTGAAGTCAATCCAACGTTTCGCCTGGCAATCTAGTTCAAACTTTTTCAAGGGAATATAATCAAACATCAAAATTATCGAATATAAATAGGTACATGGTTCTCCGTTTTACATTGGATTTACTTCAAATTCTTTCGCTGAGATGTTACGAATACATTCTTCCTCTTTAATGTCTCATATTAACTCGGCGCCCAAATACTGTGGAACTATTCAATCAAATTTAGGCGAAAGTTCATATTAATTAATTATGTAGAATGCTATAAACTTTTAACTACGGAAAGTAAACTATCATACTCCATTAGATTTGATCACTTCATTTCTACAAATCACATTAGCCTAACCAAATTGAGACAAAAATAGTTTTCTTTGAGTAATCAGATCATCATTTGTTTGTTTGTTTTTTCAGGAAACTTAATTGTAGGCTAATGATAACGGTTTCGTACCATGGAATGCATAGATTTAATTACAAATAAACGCTAAAATTCACAATTATGACGTTTCGTTCATTTTTTTGCAACAAAAGGTTAATGTAAATGAGTTATACTTTTATTCTTTTTTGTAAACTAATATTCAAATGTTATGCTAATTATGTATCATTTTTTGCACTAAACAAAAGAACTCACTTTTCATTTGTTAATATAATTAACAATAATTATCAATTAAGTATGTAATTGATAACACTAAAGTTTTCACCATCTTATTATTTAATAGTCGAATTCATTAGTCAATTTAAACTAGATCACTATGGAAAACCTATAAGCACTGAACAGTCGTTTCGTCCTAGTATAAAACTCCTCAGCAATGTGTGTCCACTATTCCATTATTATTAAATAATATTAAAATAAGATTTATATATTATTTTTCCATCTGCTCACTTTCTCCTTCTTGTGGATCCTTATCATCTTTAGTGATTTGTTCTTCTGTTTTATTTGTCACTATTTCTTCAGTTATTTCAGTTGTATCCTCAGTCACTTTTTCTAGGGAAAACAAAAATTGTTCAGTTTTAAATGGGTAAGATATTTTCGTTAGAGAGATAATAATAAAAAATTATCAAGTTCATCACAAATTAATAAATTTTAATAATACGAATTCTTTTAATGAGGACTAATGAATGTAATCGTACTGTTGAGTTGACACTTATATATTAATACAAGAAAAGGTAACCATGAAATTTCAATTTTTGTTATTTTTCCTCTGTATGCATGACTATGACCTACACCGGTATTTCTTGTTAAGTAGTGTAGAGTATATGATTTTAAACTTCATACTAATCGAGTAAATCCATGCAGTAAATGAATATCAGTAGAATCCAAATAGTGTTTCAAATGTTCCCTGGTTTATTGGATGCGATTATATGCGGAAATCGATGGTTAGGTGTAAGGGAAACTAGGTGGCGTGTTTCATTCCATTTCGAACTCGTCATCTGAATTTACCTGCACTCCAATGTTAATGATTACTACAGAATTCGAACCTAGTTCCATTCTCTACAAACGCCATTGCATTATTCGTTAGCTACTGAGTACATGTAGCCACTAGCTTGTGCAATGGAACTAAAATGAGACTGATAACTCCGGGCCCCAGGCACATCCAGCTGACGAGTCCCACTTAGGACAAAACATGCGTCCTGGATTCCAACGCTAGATATTATCCATCTTTCTTTATGGCGCTTCCATCTTATGGTGATATCGAGGCAATCTGCATAGGATGAACATATGCCAGAAATAGACTGATCAATTTCAGTCCTAAACATCAATGAAAAGATTCAAACCACCAACACAAAGGAATTTTTCAGTGAGATATTTAAAACGAATTATTGCAATCACCAATAATACCGTGTGAATTAAATACAGAGATGTATTTTGCTATACAGCTTGTTGCGCATCAAATGATTAAACTTTATTTTATTCCACATTCCTAATTTTCTGTTTTTCACAAATACTTCATGTAGTTAGTTTTGTTGTATTATTTTCGTTTCCTTTGCTATCATATGCGTATACATTTAAAATGGTAAGTCCCCTGTAACGCGACTTAAATTACTCTACACCAAACTAATCATTTGTAAAAAAGACTCCGTAGTCTTCCTACTAAGTGAGTGTCTGTCCCTTTTGGAACATCTGTCATTCCAAATTGTCTATGACATGGTAGCTCTGTCACTGTTTAGGTACTTCCGCTTTTCTCACATTGTTTACTAAAGACGACTGTACTTACCAGACTGATGACTGTTAGGGTGTATGTTTCTATGAGATCATTGTACTGCCTAAATCTACCGAGAATACCTCAATAATATATTTAGAATCCAGGGGAAGGTTTAGAAAACTGACAAATTATATACTATACTATGACTGGATGTTTACTAATTCTGTTTCTAAATTTACCAAACTTCCAGAAGTTTCTATATGTCAAAGATTATCGGTATATTTTTACAACTTATTGTTTCCTGTACGTAAATTAACCCTGAAGTAAAGCTTCTTTTGTTACTTCGCCCCCTTCTTACACTGTACTGGAATCAAGTATGGCAGAATTACAAGAATCTAGAAAGAGTTCAAGAAGTCATCATCATGTATACAGGCAGCAGATCTATCACTAAAATACTATCAGCAATGCTTAAGTATTTCCTCGCATCAAATGTTTCACATTATTAAGATCTTTTTGACAAGCATTTGATGAATCACTTTTTTGCAAATTAAGGTAGTGCATTCCCTTTAAACCAAACCTGATCATGCTTGTAAATTGGTGTTTCTTTTGTAATTCTTTTAAAAATAGTTGTGCCTTGTTATTGTATCGTTGCTATAAACTTCATTCTTACCTGAGTTTAATGACTGAATTTCTAACTGTTGTTTTTCCGTTATTTCTTTGATTACAATAGCTTCAGTTTTCTCTTGAATTTCTTTTAATTTTTCACTTATTCTTATATTATATTGTTCTTGAAGCATTCCAGCTATATCAATAATTTTTGCTCTATATGATTCGGCTAATATATGAGTCAGTTCCGTTTTACCAGATGCTTTAGGACCAAGTACAACAACACGAAATGGTGGTCTTGGTTGAGGTGGTAATAAATAAGGTCTTGGATTTTTCATAAATGATGTAAAATTTTCAATATTTGCTAAACAAAATATTTGTCCAAGATAACTAGATAGGAAATTATTCAGATAAAAGAAAATTTGAAAATATGATAATATTGAAAGTGTTTTGAGAGATTAGCAACTATAATGTCATATATATATAATTACTACAAATCTAAACATTGACAACAGTAAGATTGGTCTAATTTTATCAAATACATTGAATAAAACTATTTTTTAATCAAAATGTTGTATTGAATACTTTGTTAAAGAAATATATCAAAATTAAATGGCTACAATGAATTCGATGATAATGTTTTGGCATATAAGTAAATAACTTGAGCTATTTGAATCTATGATATAAATGTTAAACAGGTCATAAGATTTATCGTAACTTGGCTTTTGTGGTACTGTACAAAAGTATAAAAGGGTGTATACTAAGGTTTATTGAAGCCTTAGCTACACAAAAATTCAAACGCCTTTTGTATATACAAAAACAGTTTGTTCTCACCTTAAACCTACCCTGGTAATATTAGCTTATTATCTAGAGTGATAAGGTATCAGATTGTTTCCACATTATTTTCTTTATTATCCTTGTCTTTTCTTAACAAGTATATTATGTGTGATCAGATTGTTCGAAATGTATTGTGCTAATCTATCACATAGTTTCGATAATCTTCGTCATATTATTACACTATTAAAATTTATCAAAGGGACTAATTGCTTTGAAACTTGTTTTGCCATTTTAACCAATAATAAGTTGTCTAGAAATTACTATTCTTAGTTTTTGTATTAAAACAAATGTTTATTTATCGTTTTTGTTTTGTATTTTCTTTACTTTTTATTTATTTATTTATTTATTTATTTGAACACATAAATATTGGTACAAGAGAGCACCAATATATATGCGCCACACAAAACAATGGGAATTCGAAGAGAAGTAGAAAGAAAAAAAAAACTAAGGAACGCAAAAGAAAAAGAGAGTAATGACGAAGAGGTACAATCAGAAGAAATCTTTCAGGTAAAGGAGGGTAAAGGCTTTGCCCCCTGAATGCCCTGGTACGGCCGAGAGTGGGGAGAGTCCGCTCTCCCTCTCGAAATACTCTCACACGGCCACGCGTATATAGCCTCTGCCAGGGAAGTCCTACTCATTGCCTTCTCGTGGCGGGGGTGTTGTTTACGAAAATGAGAGGACGAGAAGCGAATGTCCGGCGCTTTAACCGGATTCCAAACCAATGGTGCACATGGGCTCCAGTATCCTGCGGGAACGAATGGCGTATGAACCAATCGTTGGTCACCGGCTACCATGGGACTGCATCTCCTTACGATGCTCCACTGCCTTGTGGGTTAGACCTTTAGGTCAAAGGCTCGGGGAGTGGCCCCCTAAGATAACCACCTGCTTCGGTTTGGGCACCCGGGCAGTATCACAGCCCACACACAAATGATGAACTGTTTATGTCTATGGAAACTACTTTTGTCGCTTTGAAAAACAATCAATTGATTCAAATTATGATCACTTCAATTATTGTCATTATTAATAATAATATTATTATTACTACTATTATTGTCATTATTGTTATTATTATCATTATTATTATTATTTTCCACATTATTCACCTTCTTTTATACTTATACAGCGGCTCGTCTTTGGTGGAACTCCGACTGTATCTAAACGTTCTCGAGTCACTGTCCGGTTGAAAATTGTATGTTACCACCGAATACGAGGACTGAAGCAGATTTTCTGAAACCACGTGCATCATTCAAACTGGCTGCCTTCAACGTTCGCACATTTATGCAGGTCGGACAACAGATAGGGCTGGCTATGTCTTTGGAAAGTCTTAATATCGACGTGTGTTGTCTATCCGAGACCCGTATTCAAGACTCTGGCGAAGTACTACAAATTCGATCTCCATCTGTCGCTTCGAAAAGCTTGTTTTACGTGCGCTTATCCGGGGACCCTGTGGCATCTTCGTCTGGTTTTGCTGGCGTTGGTGTCGCACTAAGCGCTAGAGCTGAGGCAGCACTAGTCGATTGGATCCCCATTAACAGTCGGTTATGTGCTGTTAGATTAGAAAGTTCCATCAAAGTGAGAAGAAATCGGCGTGAGAAACGATGTCTTTTCGTCATCTCCGCCTATGCCCCGACAGATTGCAGCCCGGATGCAATCAAGGATGAGTTTTACCACCAGTTATCAGTTCTTCTCCAGAAAGTGCGTTCGACAGATATTGTAGTACTAGCCGGAGACTTGAATGCTCAGGTCGGGCGTCTAGGCACAGAAGAGAGTCGTTTAGGTGGCCGATGGGGACTCGTTGGTCGCAGGTCAGATAACGGGGACCGTCTACTGCAACTTTGCGCAGACCACAACCTGTTTCTGGCTAGCACTAACTTTCGGCACAGTCATCGCCGATGTGCCACCTGGCGTCCTCCCTCTGCATCTCAAGCCTGGACTCAGATTGATCACATCGCGATCAGCTACCGCTGGCGTGGTTGTGTACAAGACTGCCGCTCCTTTTGGAGTACCTATCTGGACTCTGACCATGCCTTGGTCTGCGCCAATCTTGCCTTACTTTTCAGTGGACAACGAAGTGAACGCCATCAACGGATTGATGTTAGCAAGCTGGTTGCAACTTCTGTTGCAAGTAAGTATCGAACCGAGCTAGCCTCTAGGCTAGCTACCACTCCACCGAAAAGTATAGATGAGCATTGGTTGCAATTGCATGACGCCATGAAAATGGCGGGAACAGTCAGTTGTGGGTTTGCGAAACGTCCCGCTTTTAAGCACTGGGTTTCTTCTGGTTCCTTACAACTCATTGAAGCCCGTCGGTCTACTCCGGGTAACCGTGAGTTTGACCATAAACGAAGGTTTTTACGTAAGGAAATCGGGCAAAGCTTGCGTAAGGACCGAGAAGCCTGGTGGTCGATGCGTGCTAATGAGCTGGAAGCAGCAGCTGCATCTGGTAACTACCGGAAGCTCTTCCAACTCATCCGAGCCACTGGCAGCAAGAAGTCTGGTGTGAGTGAAACAATCTGGCCCAGATGACTTACCTCCGGCTCTTTTTAAAGATGGTGGTGACTTTTTGACTAAGGAATTGACGACGTTGTTTACAAAGGTTTGGGATCTAGAGAGTGTACCAACGTCATGGAATGAGTCGATAGTTGTCCCTATCTTTAAAAAGGGTTCACGTCGTTCTTGTAACAACTATCGGGGGATAAGTTTACTTCCGATTGCGTCCAAGCTATTGGCTTCCGTCATTCTTCGTAGGTTGTTCAAAACCCGAGAAAGATTGACTCGCGAGGAGCAGGCTGGGTTTCGTTCTGGTCGAGGATGTATTGATCATATCTTCACCCTCCGCCAAATGTTAGAACACCGCCATACTTTTCAAAGGCCAACAATCGTAGTGTTTCTTGACATCAGGGCTGCCTTCGATTCGTTGGATAGGACTGTTCTCTGGGATTGTCTATTGGAGAAGGGTGTGCCTGAGAAGTTTATTAACATCCTAAAAGCCCTGTATAAAAACGCCTCAGGCAGAGTGAGGGCATACAACCACCTCTCTCCATTGTTCCATTCGAGCAGTGGGGTTAGGCAGGGTTGCCCAATCTCACCATTCCTCTTCAACTTTGCCATCGATGACATTCTGGAAACAGCTCTGATGAATGTAAGTAATGGTGGTGTGGATCTGTTGCCTGGAGAAAGACTTCTCGACCTTGAGTATGCGGACGATATTGTCTTACTGTGCGATAATGCCCAAGGCATGCAATCCGCACTTAATCAGTTGGCAATCAATGTCCGTAGGTATGGTATGTGCTTTGCACCTTCGAAGTGCAAAGTACTTCTACAAGACTGGCAGGATTCTAATCCTGTACTCACCCTGGATGGTGAGCAGATAGACGTAGTTGAGAAGTTCGTGTATCTGGGTAGCATCATAAGTGCTGGTGGGGGTGTGAGTGATGAGATCAATGCACGAATAGTGAAAGCCAGAGCGGCTTATGCCAATCTGGGCCACCTTTGGCGCCTTCGTGATGTTAGTCTGGCTGTAAAAGGCCGGATCTACAACGCGTCGGTGAGAGCAGTTTTGCTCTATGCTTGTGAAACCTGGCCTCTCCGAGTTGAGGACGTTAGACGACTCTCTGTGTTCGATCATCGCTGTCTCCGAAGGATTGCTGACATTCAGTGGCAACACCATGTCAGTAATGCAGAGGTTCGGCATCGTGTGTTCGGGCACAGAGATGATAACTCAATTGGTGTCACCATCTTGAAACACCGACTTCGGTGGCTTGGACATGTTCTCCGAATGTCGTCCCAGAGAATTCCACGTCGTGCATTATTTGCCGACTCTGGGACTGGTTGGAAGAAGCGGAGAGGTGGTCAGTGCATGACATGATGTCGTGGCATGAAAGAAAGCTGCAAAGGACTGGCTTGTGTTGGTCCTTCACGACTCCCTGGTTGGGGTCCGAGAGATGGTGCAACACAGTGGCTAGAGACGTTATCAGATATGGCTCAGAATAGAAGCCAGTGGCGATCCTGCTGTAACCTTCTTTTTACTTTTTTTTTAAACATTTTTGCACTATTGCTTTTATTTCAAATATAATTTTGTATGTATCCAGGGACTAATTGTTTTAAAAAATTTTTTGTCACTTTCATATGTTTATAGCCAGAAGAGCATTCGCATTCGAGAAATTAATAATTGTGTCATTGAAACAGATTCTAGAATGTGACTGTAAATTAATGTGCCTGACGAAAAATAACATTTATGGATATTCTATTAACAGTTAATCACCAAAAATTATGCAATCAAACGTATGATCTAATTTTTACTGAACACAGTTCATGTTAATAAAGAGTTATTTTCATATATGACCAGTTGATGTCAGTGAAACTTACCCAACTGTAAATTCTGGTTTTCCCATAGACAGCTGACCTTCAAATAATGCTACAGGGCATAAACGTTTCCACGGGCTTTTATGCCAACGAGCCCTTGGACCTGGCATTTTTTTAGTAGCTACTATTCTAAATAACTCTTCAGTATCTATATCTTCAGGTATAACTTCTTCTTCTTCCTCTTCACCTTCCCCAGTTGAACCGAAAAATCTTATTGGTGCTACTGATGGATATAAATTCATACCTTGTAATTTGACCAGTAGATTCTTAAAGGAAAATGAATAGATTATTTAACTCGTAAATCTATGAGTCGATAAAAATTTGACTTGTTAAATATATAAAAATTGTTCAAGGATAGTTTTCTTCAAGGAATTTGTTATATCCCGATGAGAATAATCAATGGTAACTTTTGGGATTCATTTATGGACTAACACTATACGTATATTTTTATCGTATAATTGTCAAGTAAATAAACTATTCATATTCGTGTCCCTCTTATTATTAGCTTTATTTCGACCTATAAACTGTTATTATAAGATTTACCATTCTTGAGTTACGCCCAGTCTACCAATTACTACCTCCCATATTCACAGCCACTTTTGGCTAAATCTTGTACAAATGCTGTTTCCTATTTTATGGCACGATGTGGTTTGTCCGGTTAGTGTATAAACCTAGTATGTTTGAAATAAATGATTCATATCACAGAGGCTGAAATTGATGTTCTGGACTTAACAGGTAGGGTTAGGCGAGAAGCAGAACCGATAAGAACTCTAGACTGCTCGTACTTGTTTTATGAGTCATTGGTCCGGTCGATAATTCACTATTTTCTAATTGGCAGTATCATTACGTTATACACTAATACGGACACAGGGCACAAGATATAACAGAATTATGAAACGAAATCCTGAAAATCAATGAATGGTAGTGCTTATTTCCAGACCCTCTGGGCTGTACATTAATATATAATGGAATCCAGACTATTCAGGTTTTGAAGTATACACGTTACCATTAGAAAATGATAATAATCGATATCCAACTCCAGGTAGTGTATTACGTATTTAAAATCTATGAAAATTACTCATTCCTATACTTTTCTTAGTTGATTTCATGGATCATAGTTTATCATTAGAACTACAGAACAAATTTTTTGACAGTGAGTTTAATTAATCATACCTGCATAAACCATTAAATCATATATGAAATTACTGTTTATTGAAAACATTTGCAGTAGTTATCAACAAACATATTTTAACAAGAAATATCTGTACAGTACAGATTATATGGTACAATTTACCTAAACAATATATTATTCAGATCTATAGTAAGGGTGAAATAATAAACAGCAATAGGAAAAAAATGTTTAAACAACTACTGTAAGTCAAAATGTAAGTGCTTTGGAAATCTTCAAAATTTATAAACCTAAGTGATATATGTTTAATCCATAGATCATGAGATTTCTTATACAGTCGCAAATAACTAATTACTTCATTATTGTTAATTGTAAAAAAAAACAGATGAATTGTAGTGTCGGTTGCTATGTTAAGCTCATATACCTTATTCTAGCTTCTGAACAGACTGATTAATCCATTCTTCATGAGTCACGTTTTGACCTTATTAATTATTCACTTATCAATCCTGACTGTTTTTATATGAGCATATGTGTGTGTACACTTCTTACCCTATTCATCACGTCGGGCTCACCACTTTAGTGGCCCAAAATATGACTCCAGTTATATCGAACAAATAATCGTTGTTGAATATTATTGAAATATATATACCGTTCATCCTCGCATAGTTTGTAAGTAGTATGTAGCGGAACTTAGCGTAGAATTTACAACAGTTGTCAAACCATGTGAAGAGTTTCTGTGCATCGAAAACGTACCTTTGGCAGAACACATCAAAAGATGCAAATGGACAATTGAAGACTGTGTATATGCTTTAAGTAAATGCCTTGTAAATTCCCGCAACATATACACTTACCTCCTGTCTGTCTCCTTCTACACTATGAATTGATTGGATTTAAACACGTAAGCCACTGGATGCTTGCTGAGTGGTCTAGATGTTGAGCGTTCATAAGAAAGAATAAAAGTTCCGAGATCGATTCTCAAGGTTTGATTGTGGATGCGCACTACTGAGGGGTCTCATATTAAGATGAACTGACTGCTTAGTAATTCCAGGTTATCAATGGTTACCTAACTTAGATTGGTTGATGATCCCAATAGAACATAAGTACCTCCACAACCTGATATTTATTCTCACATATACGTGTACCATCTATCATACCGTGAAATGTGATGAGAATAATATCAATTATTAAATGATCCAAATCTCCAGTAGGTAAAGGAAATTTAGATATCTCAATTTAATGCACCCCTCTATCCACATAGTTGCATCCATAAATAGTAACTCCATACTAGGAAAATCTTCTAAGTACTTACCTGCAACTTGGTCATCAATTGATACAAGACTACTACCCAGTCTGTTGATTTGCGTAGGTTTGTTTGATCCAAAACTAGTTTCCTTTACAATGTTTCATAATTTTCAATTGTTTTCCTAGCCGATATCGATATCCTATAGAAGTGATCTTCCAAATGGACAAACTAATAATATAAATATTTTCAGTTTGTTTTCCATCAGTTCTGACAGATATTCAGTTAAAGTTCTCAGGTTTATTCTGGGAAAAAATAAACATTCCAATCACCGTATTCATCCTAGTATTTCTATCAAGACAACTATGTCGTCGGAATACATGTGGTTGTCATTTTCAATTCAAATAAAAAACAACCGCCAGTATCCTACACAATAAGTATGTATTTGTAATAAGACAGACTGAAAAGAATTTATTTGTTGGATTAGATAAGAAAAATAAGAAAATCGAACTGTCTATTAACTTACATAAAACAGTTCAGTTGGGGTTAGATTTCCATCTAATTCAATGACATTGAATGGATTAAACATTTTTATATAAGAAGTTATGTGTGATGCGATATTTTTGTCATGATATTCTAAATCTGATTTCATTTTCTCTGGATTATCTTCCAGTCGGGAAATTAAATATTCTAATTTATTCTTATTTAACTTTTTGAAATCTGGATGACTTTGTCCACTAATTTGATCTTCTTCTTCTTCATCAACTTCTTCCATAGCTTCACGATCTTCAAGTCCATTATCTAAACTATCATCTATATCTTCTTCAGTTTTATTTTGTTTAATTTTCGTTGTTTTGTTTGAAAATTTTTCCTCAGGTTCACAAAATGATTTTAATTCGTCAGTATAATTTTTACTGGAATATACAGTTCCATCTTCCACATCAATTCTCAGTCCTTCACGTCTTCGTATGATATCCTCTTGAGGAATCTACTTGGACAAAAATATGAGTAATAAACATTTATATCAAGTTATATGGAAACTAATTTACTATATATTTTAATTATTCTATTAAAACTATTTGTAAGAGACTGGAAGGAAATTAAACTCCGGTTTGTAATTTGGCAGTCTACTTAGCGAGCAGTCAGAAAGAAGCAGGAATCATCATTCCACCATCTATGTAAGCAATGCCCATTGGCCTGCCTAGTTCTGTGTTCTTCCGCTGGCTTTTTCGCGTAGCTGCAAACTTTAATCCTTTAGTGTGCTGAAATTCCGTAATTCATGTGGTCCTCTAAATGTTTGCTCTAACGGTTTTGAATCAGTTTTGTTTCCTCGTTTTTCGCTACCACTAGCCAGGTCAGTGTATTCTTTCTGGTATGCTAACGTGCTTTATGTGATAAAATGTCAATCTGTTTCGTTTTAATAAACCTTTCTCTATTATTTACTGACATACTACTTAAAAACAACAAAGGATGTCATCCCAGAATGTAGTGCGTGTGTCTAGTGTAACGCAGTCTGACATGGTTAATAAGAATTACAGTCATAGAAAAATTCATGACTTAATCTACTTTTTACTAAAAATTACATCATAAAATGACAAATTCATTGACTACCGGGACATAAACATGATTGTCGTTCCCGCCTACTATTCACTTAGTTGACTTGACGACGTTGAGTATATTTCCACTTTTTATAAGTCGGTCAATAAAATTAAAAATCCTACGCATTATTTTAAATCTCATCAATTAGAAATCAGAAACACGTAGCAGAAATAAAGATAACTTTGGAACTGTGAGGACAGCCCACAGATGAACTCAAGGAAGCTCTAAGAAGCTCAGAAAGAGCCGAAGATATTCCATTCAATCATCTTTTGGGAGAATATTCCAGAATCTCTACATGTAGTTTCTCTATTGGATTAGATGAATATAATAATAATTTCGTGTTTACTAAAAACTATAAATATCTGAGACTTTTGTACCACATTTGATATTGTTTGGAACAGCATTCCTTTCACTCATCTTCTGTTTTCTCATTTGTGACTTAGGTTTTACCATATATTAAGAATCTAAGCTCTAGATATAACAGAAACTCATTTATTATATCATCGTCTACAAAACTTAAAATGTAATATTTAAGCATAAATACCAGTTACACAAAAGATTGTGAAATATCCGGATCATTCTGACCATATAACTGAAATTTAGGACTAGTTAAGTAAAATAACAAAAGGAGAACACTTACAAAAAGTTTATGTAATTTAACACGGAATTTAAATGATGTAAAAACATTATCTTGTTTTGATTAATAAATGTTATGAAATTTAACTGAAAATCGAAAGGAAATAGGGAAAGATCTTATCACAACGAAATCAGATCAATAAACGTTTTCTTATTACAAGTCGTTTATTAGCTTTTTAGGACAATGATACAGATATCTTAAACCCTGGCTGACTTACGTTCATTTATTCATGGATGAATCAAAACTATCTGCTAATATTTACCATTTATAAAAATTAAGACTCGTCACAAATGATACGTAACACTGGCGAAGTTAGTTTAGCCACTTCTCTGTTATTTGTTGAAACTAATACACTGTACCCAACCGTTCATAATATAAATTACTGAAGACATTAGAATTTGTACTTTCAATTCCATAGTTCATATTGAGACATTTATCCAAACACCTGATTCCCAGTTTGTAGGTATCAGTTTCAAGGTTAGACTTGATAGTTTCAAATAAATTGAGCGTTGAGTAGAAAGTTAATAATAAATAAATCTTTTGTTACATTCCAGTGAGTAGAAAAATTGTATTCCTGACGTTTCGTAACTTAATGTAGACCACTTTTTCAGAGCAAATAATACTCACTAGACGTCAGAAATACAATTTTCCTACTTATTGAATTCTAACAAAAAATATATTTATTATCACCGTTTATTATTACCGTTTCAGTACGATCTCATTGAAAATTAATGACTGGATAAAGTATTCTAGATCTTAACTAAACAACAAAAAACATGTTTGTCATTTGACTAAAAAGATGAGTATTTATATCCATTACTATCAGCTATACAGTATCACATAATTCTAAACTCAAAACTTACAATTGTTTAATATTTCCCGAACTCTAGTTTTTGAAGTTAACTTCTTTATATCGGCATAGATACTGTTTGAATGTATACAAAAAATATGAACTGTTAAACTCATACAGTAAAAGGGAAGATTTAGCTTTCCATCCGAGTGGTCACTAAGATATTTATGAACAACATGTTTATAAGTCAGATTATTCTTAAATGTTAATTTGGTTTCAGAAGAGCTATTAACAACCCATTCACAGAACTACAATTGATTGCTTAAAATACCATTTCAGTGAGCAAATATTATACTACTTACACATTTTTAAATAGCTTATTTCGTACGCGCTGAATTTTAAATCATATAACTTGGAGATTTATGCGATGACATTTAATTCACTTCACCATCCAGATTAGTTCTAAGGTTCTATAACCACCTGTATCCAGCATGTGAACATTTTTTACTGAGCCTTATTACGTGTTGACAGGAGAAATGTTTTTAGTAATATATACCAGTATCCATGATCCAAAAAGAAGAGTTACAATATGTCACCTTAGTATCAACAAACAGAAACATTATGTAACGAAAATTTTCGGTCTACTGCAAACGTTTTATCCTGTTGTTAAACAGACTTACCATGTAAAGTCTCAGCAATTTCGCTAGGCATTACACTCAGGAATTACTCATTGCTTCGATATTTATGTTTACGTAAACAAATTTAGACATACTGTCATTATTTCTAGTAAGTGATAGATATTTTGCCTTCACCATGCCTTAACAAGCCCTAATTATTTCATGCAACCAGTGTTATTGTAGACCTCGAAATCCCCTTTTGACTATATACCACCTCTTTAGAATACACAACACCATTTTTCTGGCATAACTGTCTTATAGCAGAATGACTCACCAATGAATCAATCATTTTGAATACAAACCCTCAGAATTAACTGTTATCATGAAATACCAAGACGACTGGGAGAACAAGTTTCGTGGTGAAGAAGAAGTAGTTCACTTCTTACTTTTAGTTCATCCACTGCTTGCATTCGATTCCAATCTCTGAATGTTTAAACAGATACTACAGATGGATAATAACAGAGTTTAAAACTAATGACATGACAAAATGTAGAAATATGACTGACCTAAAACATTTGAGTATTTTAGTGATAAAAGAATCAACTAAGCAAGATTTTAGGAATGTGAGGAATATAATGTAGTATCTATAGAAAAACGTGATAAGCTTGGTTGGAGTTCAGTGTCCTCTATAAATTATTTACATCATAACTTCGTTGCTACCGTTGTATCGGCTGTTCGAACGCTTAAATTTGAAACAGAAATAACCATAATTTTACGACGCAAAGAAAGAAAAATAAAACTGGTACATTAAAAATTGGTCGTCTTTACAAAATTATGTTCCCAAAATACATCAATAGACCAAAATACATTCATTTCTTTAATTAGTTTGCATACATTTAATAATGTGACATATAAAAACACGTTGATTTACCGCAAAAATACATATGCTGCGGCCTGCTTGAGCATCTGGGCTACCTGTTCCTGCCATCTAGATACAACAACAAGTTATCTATTGTTGTTTGTTTTAATATATCATTATGTTTATTAATCGCATAACCTATTCTGCTGCGTTTCTGAAAAGTGTACAACCTTTCGTTGTCAAAGTTACAGAAAACTCAATAAGAGACAATATGGTTGCTGGCAATATACAACGAAAAGAATGTACATTATTCAGTTGTTTATTCACTGAAGTGCTAACATCTAACTGGCGATCCCTCAATATTTATCGCCAGGACCGACCAAGAAGAAAGAAACGGAAACTTGTTGAAATACTTTGCGCTGAGAATTCTATATTGTACCAAAATTATAATATTGAATAAAGCTAATAATAATAATATAGATTACTCACAATTATACGGAAAACCTAACTTTTACACTAACCAAGAGTTTACACTCCTCACACTGAATAAATTCCATACTGAATTGATGCAAAAAATGCTAATCATAAATAATGCCACCTTTTCATTTTTTCATATCATTTTATCTTTCAACCCAACTCGAATATTTTATTTTTTAAAAAAGGTTGTATTTGACTGATGACATCTGAATGTACAACACATTTTTATTTTGGTTTTTAATGACGAAAGATTTACTTTTACAAATAAACGCATGTTGCAAAACTTGTTTTCGGCTTGGAAGACTAAGAACTTTTTGTGGTTTAGTTGATAACGTTTACGCTTTATTCCGTAACTTCGTTTTTGCAACTCTGGCCTTAATGTTTTAAAATTTTGCTGCTAGTTTGTGAAATTACATGAGCATTGAGGTCAAACGTGGGAAGTACTCCACGATTGTACCCCATTTTAGAAGACTTTTGAAATTTCAAATGCCCGGAATACTTTTACAGCTACTTGTCACAATAACACATCTCATGAATAGCTTAATTACTCTTATTGGGTATTCGAAACTTTATCATTCAAAATGTTTGTTGCTGGTTCAAGAATACACTGCATTAAAGTCCTTTTTAGATTCTTCAATTTTAATTTTATGAAATAGTAAATTTTTTGTGTTCAGAAGCAAACATATCTAAACAAAGATTTCATGTAATTCAAAAATCCGTTAATTGATCATTTTCCGAATTACACCTACATAGTTAGTCATCACATACCTATGAATGAGCAACATGCATCTTGATACAAGGCCAAACAACTCAAGGTACAACAAACCCAAAATTCAACTAGGTTTTAAAAAAAATAAAACTACCGAATAAACTAAACAGAAGTAATAAGTTAAGAATGATGACTGGTTCAAAATATAAGGCAAAAGCGTTTGGTTAACAGTGATTACTATTAATTTTTTTTAATATTAGCCCTAGTATCTGGATTCTGTTGCCTTTTATTCACCAATAAATATATTTGAGACTCATTACTTTGCTTTAACAGAAATTTTCTGGCTTCCTAGACTGAAATTATTTGTAGCACTTTATATTTTTCTGTTTTTAATATTAAAGAAAACGCCGAATCGACAGAAAACTATAAATCTATACAAGAAATAACGTACCAGCCAGGCAAGTTTTGAGCCTTCTGAACCGAGTAGCTCAACAGATGGAGCCTCAGTGATTGTAGAGACAGTTAATAAATTTGTGTGTTAGTGTGAATACCAACGCTAGAATTCCAACCCGACAATTTCCATACTTCTATAAAACTCCGTTATTTGATCTGACAAGATTTTTTTCATCAAAAGTGACATACTCGTGCACCTTAGATAATAACGCCTTCTATACTTAGCCACAGCAAACTGGTTGACGCTGTAGAGAGAAGATTCTCATTCACGATCACTTTTAGTTGAAAGCACAGAACCACCCACTTCAAACATTTCTCAAGTCCTACCAAGCGTTTCGTCTATACATTTTAACTAACGTCTTTGATTCAAAGTCAAATTTACCTGGAGAACTTCTGGAGATTTTTACCTGTATCCGAATATCAATGATTAAACGTCTCTAAAACGTATCCTGAAAACGTTCGGTATTGCTGTCCCGCTTGTATTTTGCCTAGAGATTTTTCGATGAATAGTGCGGCTGAAAGGTATCGACAAACAAATGCTTGATTTCGTACGCCTCACCTTCAAACCCTTATTGCTGTTTGGATCGGCTGTATGATATTTCAATAAGGATCCAGATTTTACCTGTGTTTATTGAGCAAATGGAGAATAATAAATGACCGTTGTACTAAAGCACACTAAGTCAGCGCAAACTGGAGAACTGGTTTTATAAGTTTTATACCTAACTGTCTTTCTGGAAATATGTTTGAGAACATACATGAAGTGTCCAACAAACAATTTCCAAGTTTGATCAGCAACTAACTGAATGATATACATATTTCTTCCTTGAATAGTAAGCGTGTTTATAAGCTATATCAAATAACAAACTCAGAGTGCTTTATTTCGGAATTCAGTCGGGTTATAACGAAATCAAAGAAATTTGAAACAAAGTAAGCTAGAATTTAGAATTTGTATATGAAAACGATTCAAAAGTGTAAAACCATAAATTTTAACACAACCAAATTATGATGAGCTGAAAAATAGCGATTTCATACTAACCTTAATGTGAACAATGAAGTCCGGCTTCAGATTCAGTGATGTAATACAGGCGATTTGATCTTCGATAGTAATTATTGACTCAGAGAAAGCTGGTAAATCATCCAGTACATATCCATAATGAGCACACTCAGGTGACTCAAGTTTCTGCGTAATTAAATTATAAACTAGTTTTTCATCCAAGGGCTGACCACTACCCATTACTTCACTAATAACTTTTCCACTATATGTTGCTCTATCAATATTCTCCGTTATAAGTTCCATTGCTGTAGGATAAACGTTTCTAAATGTTATTTACCGTTAACAAGCTGCAATTTCCACTTCGAGCATAGTCTTTTGGCCAATTCAGTCTTTCCTGAACACGGTTTCCCGAGTATAATGATACACACAGGCTTTTTGTTCAACGCTTGCAATACCGCCTAAAGCATAATTCATAACGATAACATCACGTACACTATTATCATTATATAAAGTATTATTGTCGTATAATTTTTGAACAAATCGTTTAGAAGTGAGCACATCTTCTGGATAAAACGTAAGCTGTTCGTTCATTTTCAAATATTCAGTGAATTTTTGTCATGGTAAAATTCTCTCAAGGACATTTTCAAGTTAGAAAAAGTAGTTACTGAGTAAGTAGAAATCATTGATTTTAATCTTTGTAGTGTATAAATTACTTCATTCACTAGGTTGCAATAAAATGACTGCATAACTACTGTATAAATTTCGTATCTGCTGTCTTACGACGGAGTGAAGGTATTTTGACTAGACAATTCCTTTGTATCTACTGAGAGCAATACATTATATCACGATTTTTAAGTACTCGTGTTTGTTGCCTAACATGGTTCTTAGTCGATCACAGGGTTGAGCTATCCCATTTTCTCCGTGAGGTTTCAGTATGTTCTAATAATATGCTTTGAAGGAGAATTACAGCAATTCATAAATAAATAAATAAAACCCAACGAACTTAAAATCTCGATTTCTGACAGTACGATGTAGGAGAGCAGACAAAACATATACATTTCAGGTTTTGTTGCGAAATCGATTAGGATGATAAACTTTTTTAATCTCTCTTTTAGTACGAAATTTAAATCGCTTTTCTACAACCTCGGGACAGTTTTAGAGCCATTACTACTATATATCCTTGGCAAAGTTGACATGCATTAGTTATGTATTTCTTGTAGAGACTAAATCATGGCGGCTGCACAAGCAAAGATGTGCATTTATCTATGTTTCTTCAGTAACCACAGAATGGTCATGAGTAATCATAAATTTAAGGGGTTACTAATTCAAAGTTACACATGGCTTTTCGGTCAGTATTTACAGAGATCCTTTCGTTTAAGAAGCCATCGATTGTGAAGTGGGTTGTTCCATTACGATTTTCCATAGTCTTATCTCAAGTGTTTGTCCCGAAACTAATCAGTGAAGAAGTCATGGACGGTAATATTTGAAGATAAACTTGGACTTTAGGTTGGAGTAAAACCTTCTATGCAATACGAGATGGCACGTTGTCGTCAAATTTCCCTAACATGGCCTAACCAAACGTAATCTGGTGCGGATTCTTGATCAAGAAGTAAGATGCACAGTGAGGATGTCACAGGTATTCAGTGTTTGACAACGCTTTTACCAGCAACACTTTCTAATATATTTTGTACCCACCAAGAGAAATCAAACGACAGAGTCGATGAGATCGGAAGAGTGTATTTGGCGATTACCAATATATCGGAATTCTCTGATCTAATCTGGCTAGCGATTGCGGTAGATGTTGAGCACAGCGTTACCACACGTGATCTGGTGCGGATGCATGGCCGAGCGCCTTCAGCTAGATGAGTCCACTAAAACATATGGTCAGCATCCAATGTCGAAAACTTAGAGCTATTTATTTTGGGGATTTATTTACCGCTACAGATCACTCCCCCCCTAGTGGGGCAGTGACGACCCTAAGACGTGGCCAGCCAGAAGTTTAAACCCAACGAGTCTGTCGTTGGTAAACACTCTTCTGATAGCTTACTAGGTTTAGCAGCGTCTGGTCGTCTTTCCTTACTATATGGGACCGAGGTACAACATAGTAAAAACAGAAAAAGTACAATGAAAATGTTGACTCCTCGTAATTTTCATCGTCCTTCTCCAGCCGTCCTGGAAAAGAAAATGTAAGTGCATATCGAAGTACACTCGTATGTGCGTAAAAACACAATGTCGCCGAAAAAATGGAAAATAAACTCAAGCACACGTAATAGCGTTAAAAAATTATTTTTTAATGTTTTGTTTAGTTTGTTTTTTTAAAAAAACATAAATATATAAGCATATTAAAATTGTTTTTTTTAAATATTATAAATCGTAAGAAGAAAGATCGAGATAATATAAAATGTCGAATAGTACCTTACTTGCAGTAGTCGTTTAAATGTTCTGGAAATCTTACTCTTCTTCCAGAACGCGTCGTTTTAAGTTTATTTTCATACACATTCGGAGTGTCATCGCTAGTGTTGGTTGTCGGTTGAGGAATTATGAGTGTAGGAGTCGTGTTGTGCGATTGTACCGAAGGAAAGTCGACGTGAATAGGATTTCCTTCTAAATACGCTGCTTTTAAGCGGTCGATGCTGATGCTATCGTTTGTTCCGTTTTTATCGACTATATAGTACTTAGATTCACGTTGAAGAATTTTGAAAGGTCCTTCGTATGCTGATTCGAATGGTCGTCGATGCGAGTCTCGACGAACGAAAACGTGTGTACTATATCGTAAGTCAGGTTGAACGAAAACATCAGTTGATTGAGGTCGAGTGGAAGCAGGTTTAACTGAACGCATTGCGTTTGTAAGCCTGTTCGTGTAGGAGGTTAGATCCATGTTCATTGAAGAGGATGAAGGATCCACGAATTCTCCTGGAAGTCGAAGTGTCGTTCCATAAACGAGTTGAGACGCAGTGTATCCAATGTCAGCTTTCACTGCATTGCGGATACCTAGTAAAACGAGTGGAAGAGCGCCGGTCCACTGTGAAACGTCTGCAGCTGATAATGAAGCTTTTAGTTGTCGGTGAGAGCGTTCTACCACCCCGTTTGCTTGTGGGTGGTAGGCGGTCGTTCGGAGTCGAGTGATTCCTAAAAGTGTGATCAGACGACTGAAAAGTTCAGATTCAAACTGACGTCCGCGATCTGTGGTGATGGTTGAAGGGCAGGCGATGTTTGCTACCCATCGTTCGACGGAGGTGCGAGCCACTGTTTCAGCAGTGATGTCCTTGATAGGTACTGCTTCTGGCCATCGAGTGAAACGGTCTACGCAGGTTAAGAGGTAAGAGTATCCATTTGAATCTGGTGAAGGTCCTACCAAATCCAGATGAACATAGTCGAAACGAGCATCGGGAGTTTTAAACGAGCCCAAGGGACATTTATTGTATCTGATAACCTTAGATTTTTGGCAGCTTACACAGGAGCGTGCCCACTCCCTCACGTCTTTATTCATGCCAGGCCAGCAAAACCGTTCTGCTATAAGCTTGATGGTTGCACGAACACCTGGATGAGAAAGTTTGTGCAATGTATTGAAGACATTGCGTCGATATTTCGGCACGATTAAGCGATCCCTACCTGTAGATGTGTCACAAAGTAAGGTTTCCTTACCTGTTCCCATCTGTTTGATGCGTAGTTTAAGTGTTGTAGACGATAACTCGTGCTGAAGATCAGTGTCATCTTTTTGGAGCTCGGCGAGTTTCAGAAGGTCGATTGCTTAAAAACTGTTCAAGGAAGTTATGCGAGATAAGGCGTCTGCAACTACATTGTTTGCTCCAGAGATGTGTTGAATGTCTGAAATAAACTGCGAAATATAGTCCAGTTGTCGAGACTCACGGGGAGAGTACTTGTCTGAAGGAGAGCTTAACGAGAAAGTAAGCGGTTTATGATCCGTGAAAAGAGTGAATTCACGACCTTCGATGTAGTGTTGAAAATGTCGTACAGCACAAGACAGCTAGAAGTTCCCTACCGAATGTGCTGTACCTCGATTCAGTGTACTTGTCAGAAGGAGAGCTTAACAAGAAAGTGAGCGGTTTATGGTCCGTGAAAAGAGTGAATTCATGGCCTCCAACATAGTGTTGGAAATGCCGTATAGCACAATACATAACTAGGAGTTCCCTACCAAATGTGCTACACCTCGATTCGGTGTCTAGCAACCGTCTAGAGTAAAATGCCAGTGGTTGCCAAGAGTTGTTAACCCGTTGTTGTAAGACTCTTCCGATTGCTGAGTCGGATGCGTCTACTGCGATGCTAATGGTGCTTGAGTGTCCTGATGTGCGAGGATTTTTGCCTTCGCGATAAGTTCCTTAATTGCGGAGAATACTTCTCGCACGGTGTTGTCCAGATTGATGGAATTTGCATTTCCACGAAGTTGGTCGGTAAGAGGTTTCATGAGTAACGCGCATTTCGGTACGAATCGTCTATAGAAATTTACCAGGCCGTTAAACGTGCGTAATTGCTTGACGGTGGTTGGTTCTGGGTAATCCAGAATTGCCGCCATTTTGGTCCTAAAGGGTCGAATGCCTTGAGCATCTATAGTGTGTCCTAGGAAGTTTAGTGAGTCAGCTTCGATTTGGCATTTCTGAACGTTTACAGTAATGCCATGTTTTTGAAGTCGGTCGAAAACAAGACCCAGATGCTTGAGATGTGTTTCTCTGTCCAGACTTAATAATAATAATAATATATTTCTGCATGTGCAGGTACACACCGTTTTTACAGGCATGATCTATAAATTACAACATTTGTTGGTTCGCAAAATGCTTCTCAACTTATTAAGTTTATAGTTGTTATAAAGTGAAATCGTAGAGCGCTTGCTGTAAACTATGACCTTGAGAGGGCGCGTACGTTAAGTTTGCTCCAAACGTCAGGAGTTTCATAGCTGTGCTCTCAGAGCAAGATTCTGAAGGAGAAAAAAAAAGAAACAGAGGAGCAGCAAGGCACTTGGATATGAACGCCAAAGGTTGCTTAACATTGTGTAGTAGAACGGACAGAGGTATAATAAATTAGAATAAATTCATATTATGTCTTGTTAGAGTGAAGTGAAGTCAGAGGCTCCATATTAGAGAATGTACTAATAAAGAACAACGAGTAGTGATGTTTACCAAGTTGGAGTAAGCTCACATGAAGGAAGGGAAGTCAAGGTTGGTACAAGGGAAGCGGTTTATTAGAAGGGTGTGTATATAGAGGGTGAAGTGTTAAGAATACTAGTGACTATATCTTTTATTGTCTTTTTTCTTTTCTTTTTTTGTCCATCCGATGTCAGCCACGCAATTCTAGTGTAAAAGTCCGAGTTAGCATGTTATAGGTTGTCTTAGTAGAATAGCTAATCCAGCATATTATTGGAAACATGAGTCTGAGTGGTGAGCGTAGGAAGACAATCTATATCTTAGATTGACTGTCTTATTCTCAATTATAAAGAGCCTGATACATACAAAATGTTCTGTCCCCGCAAACACGGGTGGATTGAAGTTATCGCCCTCACCATCAATGCTTGCTGGTCAGTAACTCCACCCTCCCTCCTTTTGTGATGTTAGGCTCATTTAAGCTTATTTTTGTATATACGTCATACC